GTCCTCTCAAGAAACGAACTCTTATTATGTGTTCTTAATTGTATCCGTGCATGTGTTGGTGTTTCCCCCCCAAGTTTGAGATGAATTCCTATTCATAATTCATTCAACAGTGAGATTTTAATTTAAATTGGACTCTATTGGGTTAAATATGTTCCTGATCTCCTCTCGTCTATGGGGTTTATATAATTAACTACCTCTTCTTCTTTCTTCCTAAAAAATGCTTGTAATAGATGGCAAAGGCTAGCATATATACACCATGGGTAATATTGACATGCTTTCTTACGTATTAGATGTCCCTTTGATCAATAAGAATTGTCGATTAATTTGTATACTAAATTTATCGTATAGTTTGAGTAATGTTATTGTCCAGATTTCAGTTAAGAATGAGTTCTTACTACAATTTGGAAGAATTAACATTAGGGGTTCGTTCTTCAAATATTAGAGTATAATGTTATTGTCCAAATTTCAGTTAGTTTATTATCTAAATAGCGAAACTATAGTAAGATTAGCATATGCCAAACCTACGATAAGTTGAACTTGAATGACTTGTATAAACTCCAAGTAAGAGTTACTTAGACTCTGGTGGGCCAATTTGATCGTTTGTTCCGGCCAGATGTACGATAATTTGAACTTGAATGACTTGTGTAAACTACTCCAAGTTAGAGTTACTTGGACTCTGGTGGGCAAATTTGATGAATTGTTCCAATGACATGATAGATTGATTTGATGAAAATGTGATATTTTGTGTGGTTCCTAATGGTCGTTGCATGACTAATAAAGATTGATTAGAATATCAAATTAAAGGATCAAGCTTGTAGGAAGATAATCGATCAACTATTTTCTTTTTAAATTAAACCTCGAAGTCGCCTTTCTTATTAACCAACTGTCCAGATTCATTTGATAATAGTCTAGGTGACCCTTACTTAGAGTTTAACCCAAGTCACTGATCACCATAACGAAGTTCTAATTATAGGTAAGAACATATTTTTGAACTTATTGCATTTGTGAACAAGGATTACTAGTGAGTCAATTATTAATAATTTGTAAATGAAATATAACTTATGAATTCGTTTCTTCTTTGAAATTTATACAACAAATATGTTAACTAGTGTCATAACAAAGTATAACAAGATGAAATATTTCACTTATATTATATTAAAAAATATTCTACAGGATTTATAATTACAAGCTCGTCCTACATATCAATCAAAGGAAAGTAGTTACTATGGTTTAAGTATCTCCATCATCATAATTCTCTAATTGTGAGTCTATTATTTTATCCAAAACAAGCCCTTACTACATGGATGAACAACAAAAATATAAAACTGACAATAATAAAGAACGGTAGATATATAGTTGCAACTGGACTCCCGATCAAAGAAACTGTTTTGTCACGATGTAAGCAGCTCTATTGATTAAAACTTCGAGAAGCAAAATGACACGAAACTGATACATGAGACGAGAAGAGATAAATAAGAACTTTTGTTAGAATGAACCCGACTTTCGAATGGAAAGACTTTCTCTTTGAAGCATCTCTTATGCCCAGTTGAGAATTTTCCCAAAAGAATAAATCCGGACATTATAAGTGAGTCATCATCTAAATATGGGTCGTTTGAGTATTGTTAATATACATCATCATACTATAGTATTATAGAGAGAATGTGAAGTAGTGAACACGCATATGAACTATGAAGGAGGCTAGATGAAAAGGGTTGACAATCATCAATTGGTTTAGATAGCCCTTTTTATGAAACCTCTAACAAAATTACGATTACAATTACAAATGGTGGTAGAGATCTTTGTTTCATACCTCCTCCTCATCATCATTGTTGTTGTTGTTGTGGTGGTGGTGAGAAACCCTAGCTAGTACAAGAATATCTTTTTAAGAAGACCCTTTCTCCAAATGGTAATAAAATACATTTGTTCCTGTGCAAGAGATTCTTCATTTAGATCTCTCACCATGGTCATGGTGAAGAACATAAGATCAGGAGTATCGGTGGTCGACATAAATCGACAATCATAAGGACTAGAATTTACCTTAACTATGTCTCATGCGAGATCCATCCATGCTATCCATATATGCTGAGGCTATTAATTATCTGATCGATGCAGCATTTTCACAACCACTGTCGCAGTTGATCATAATTTGGGTAACAAAACACAACTAATTAACTAGCTAGTAGCCCAAGTGATATTAAGATATCTGTACACTAGCAAAGTGATGGAGATGGATGCACGGAAAAAGGAATACACACTTTCAGAGTTGCACCCTCTCCAGCCAGCAAACCGAGGAGTAGTGGTGAGAGGAGTAAAATAGTATAGCCAGACCAGAGAGTACTTTTGACTAGAGATGCGGCCAAAACATGAGAAACCCTCCCTGTCTGCTGCAACGTAACAAAAGAAGGCCAACCCTATAGACGCAGCGAGCGAGTGATAAATATATCAAGAGGGGCAGAAAAGGATCGGAAGCTCCTCTCTCCTTTTCTTTCGATACAGGTCTGTCTGTGGACGACGTACGTTTAGCTGAGCCCTGACGATCGATAATGATGATGAAGGGTAGCAGAAGGTAGATAGATGGATAGATTTATACATCCAGCAGCTGCTGCTGCTGCTGCTATAAAATCAGACAAAGGCTGACTGCCAAAAACATGCAAAAAGAAAACAGATGCGCGTCTCCTTCTTTAATGTTTGTTGTGCAGGCTTTAGCAGCAGCTGTTTGCTTTTTACTGGTAATTTATTGGGGTGAGTAAGACTTGACTCTAGTAGGACTGTCACCCTTTGCACTGGATCCAATAACACCAAGTCTAGCTGCAGCCTGCCTCTCTCTCTCTCTCTCTCTCTCTCTCTCTCTCTCCTCTGCTGAAAAAGTAGGAAGAGCATAGAATGGGGGCAAAGATGGTGGTAAGTCCTCATCAGCTGAGATAATGTTAAAGACAGATGGTAGAAGGAAGTGCATAAATGATTGTGTTTGTATTTCATTAACATCAGGGGAATGCTTTCTAATCAAGGGGCTGGTGATGTGATTAACAAAAATGAGTATATGTTACCATACAGATTGGTACAAAGTATGTTTTGCCAAATGTCTATTCAGTGATTCATGAATATTCGCTTATTGAACCAATATAGAACCATTTATAGTACAATAATATATTAATTCTAATATATTCCAATCAAATAATTATAAAACTTTGTATGACAAATAGCCACCTATCATTTTACAAAAATAAAAATTATCCGATGGTTATTCGTACAAGTGACTTTTCAGAAATAAAAATCATTAATTTACAAAATTTAAAGCGGTGGGCTTTTTAAACTTTTTCGAACCTAATATATGGCGTATAAATAACATGTTAAGTTATATTTTGTTGCATAGATCAATAGTAGAATTGGTGTTCCAGAGGTGTTGGGACAAAACCGATCATTATCATATTCTTTATTCTAATGTGAGTTTTTCGATTTGGCTGGTTTTGTGTTGTGGTATGACTGCTTGGTTTGTCCGGTTCATCACCTAGTGTTTTGATCTACTACTTGTTAGTCGGCTTTTGGTAGGTGACTAGAAGCTCCACTCGAACTGAACTATAGAATAATTAACAGTTTCACGGATCATACAGAATAGATCGATCCGATTTGATTTTAATATCACTGATTTTTCACAAAAGGTAGGGTTATAGAGAAAAGTAGAGAAAATATAGAAGATAAACAATTATGTATCCCTACTTGTATCAAATCACACAATTGTGCGGGCAATTAAAAAATTGTCCTAAGATTGTGTTTGATATTCTACTAATTCAAATTGGCCAAAGTAATTGGATTGATTGCATGTGATGTTATTATGAAGGCTTAACACATGTTGCATGATTTGGGAGGAGTAGTATTGTCCTAGGGTCTTTGGTGAGTCGAATCAATTTGTTTCTGATTCCTGAACGAACAAGGGATTGGTCTAATAGTAAGACCACTAGCTTTGATCCTAGAGGTCTTAGGTTCAAATATCTTAAGTGGTATCTAAAACAAAAATTGAACTTATATCACCCTTATAAAAAAATCGATTTGTTCTTGATTTTTATCGTATTCTATCTTATACGAACAATCTTGCTTTGCTCTGGGCAAGCCATCACTTCCTTGATTCCTTCTCATTTATGTTACCTTGCTTTCATAGTCTTTTACTATTTGAGTCAGATGGATGGAGTTCTTCTAAAATGAGATATTTGGTCAGATCTATCATTTTAGAAAATAATGCATTTCATCATTAGACATTTACCAAAAAGTCTTGTTTGTATGAGATTTTTAATGAGATATATGTCTATTTTATTTTATTTTTAGTATTAGAGATTCTGTTGTTCCGATTTGAAAACAAATTATCTATCGTTGTTTGAAAGTACGAAACTCAATTTTTAATCGCGTTGGCATCGAAGAAAGAGCCTTACTTTCTCTTTATAGGTATGATTTATGAGGTTTTGATACATTTTAGGAAACTTGTGGTATGCTTTGAAGTTTCTGGTATCTTTTATGAATTTAATGGTGCGGTAAGGTTCTGATATATGGTTTATAAGTTTTTTTGGTATCCTTTATGATATTTTTAGTGTGATTTGTTGTGTTTTCCAATATATATTTTGTGGTATGCTTGGTGATATTTGATGAGGTGGAATAATGTGTTATACTTCATCCGTGTACTTCTCTTAATTTTAATAATGACAAACTTGCCTCTTATTTTATAAATACACATTAATTATGATCAACATTAAAATTAAATAGACATCAAAACAAAATATTCCACTGTTAAAAAAAATTCCTATTCACGAAAATTTGAATTAGCACTGTTAGTATGAGCGTTCGCACAAATAAATTTATAATAGAAACCTATAACAATAAAAAGATTAACACAATTTAATTTAATTTAATTTGTCAATATATAAAAGTTATTTCCCGCCCTAACGGGCCGGGCCTTTCGGCAGTAAGAGACAAAGAAGACTAAAATTAAGACATCGACTAGCTATTAGCTAACCAACATTTCTCCACAGCGTCTCTTCCCTTCTTTATCGAGAAACCGCCGAGGAAGTAGTGGAGAAGTAGCGACTCTGCCATTTTTGTCTTCTACGGGAACGACGCGCCATTCAAGCTTTCAACGAAGGCCTCGTCGGTGGGTTTAGTGTGTGATCATCGTAGAGCAACGTTGATTGTTTGCCGCCCGGTTCTCCGCTTGGTATTTGGCGCTGGGGTTTCTCGAATTAGGGATTTTTCTTTTTAGGGTTCTTGGGTAGCCAAACGGGGAGAACAAAGCGACCATATGCAACAAAAGATGCAGCAGCCACAACAGATGATGCCCATGATGCCCTCGTTTCCGCCTTCCAACATCACTACTGAGCAGATCCAGAAGGTATATTTTTGTAGTATGGTGTTCATTTATGTGCTCTGTTCTTGGGTGTAGTTGCGATTGAGTTATCTTTTTGAAGCTGGAAGTTTAGAGCTTTACGGTTTTCGTTTGAGAGGAAATGATTGGGTCTAAGTATTGGATATGTGGCTTGTAGATGCTAGTAGTTGTAGTAATCATTAGCTCGTAATCAGGAAGCAACGGGCTTGTTCCTTGAAAAGTTGATGTCTTTTGCTCTTAGTTCTGTGCGCATTCCAGATTATCGACTTTAATCTACTTGATTGCTCAATGATATCTGAGGGTATGGGATTGCACTGCCATGGCACTTACCAATGTCAAGTATTGCTAGTGGAATTAACTGAGATGGTGATGTAGCTCACTTCATGATGCGTATGTAGGAAATTTCTGAGGATTAAGAGTGCCATTGTAGGTATTTTTCTTACGGCTTTTATGTTTTACCTTTTTGTTGGGTCAGCGATGTTGGCTTTTGCGTGTCTGTTTCTGTGACCATGAAACTGAGATAACATACAAGCTTGCCTTCTTAGAATGTATTCTTCTGAAGTTATATGGCAAGTACTTATTAGTGTTTGGGCCATCTTATGCGCGCATCGCATTAAGTGAGAGTTGACATGGTATGGGAAAGTTAAGCTGTATTCTATCTTTATTGATGTGTTAATGTTAGGAAATGGTATTTGTACAGGAGGCGATGGCGCCGTGTTATCTTGTCTACGTGGATTTTTTGAAATGTTTGTTGCCATGGAATTTCTGTCAGGTTGATGCTCTAAACATTGTAACTAGGGCAAGTTGTTAATTTAATCTATTTATGATCTTTCAATTGATTGCAGACTCCACGTGTTACCAGTCGTTTTTTTTTGCCCTGTGTTTGACAATCTACGGCTTGTGCTATAAATATAATCTTATGCATGCATGATTTTCTAACGCTCGATTCTGTATTTAATGCTTGATGCAGTTTCTTGATGAGAACAAAAAGTTGATCTTAGCCATATTGGACAATCAAAACCTCGGCAAGCTGACTGAATGTGCCCAGTAAGAAGTCATTTGCTAATGCATCTGGCATATGTGTGCTTGACTTTTTTACTCTTCTTGTGTACTGTCTGTAACTGAGATCACTAATATTGCAATTGAATTCCAAGAAACCTGGAACATAGAAATGCCATTGAGTTCCATCTCAAACTCCAAAATAGAGCAATTGACTCATAATCTGCAGTGGCATACATCTTCATAATTGCTCTGACCACAACTGCTTCCTGCCACCATGACATTCCTGCCATCTCCTCATCCAATGTGATTGCCCTGTTCATTCTTGATTGTTTGTTGGTAATTTTGTTCCTTTGGCTTTCTAATTTTGTGAAATCTATACCTTTCTTGACATATTTTGAAACAAGCTTGGAGATTAAGACATATGTAGGACGTTGTTACATACACTAGGGTCATGGTACACTTCCTCTTTTGCTTCTTAAGCCTTAGCTCTGTCAGAACAAGCCAGTGCTGTGTTAAGCAAGCATAAGCTTAGGGTGAGATAAGATTTCAGAAGTATTAGTTTGTCTGCGAGTCATGTAGCCTTGTTTGTGGTTTCTTTGTTTGTTTTTAGTATGGATAGTTTTACTTACATTTCGGGCCTCCCACGGATGCTAGTATTTTACTGTTGTTGTTTGTTCTGACAACTTACAGGATAGGTCACAGTTTTGTGCATCATATGATAGGGTGATTGGCCATTAGAACTCTGGATTTTCATGAATCTGAAGTTTCATATATTGTTAAGATATTGGTTTTGTATGTTCAAGTGGCATTTGGTGCTCCCTATTTACTTGGTTTCTTACTTGTCCTGATTTTAACTATGTAGATACCAAGCACAACTGCAGAAGAATCTAATGTATCTAGCGGCTATTGCTGATGCCCAGCCACAGGGACCTGCTATGCCGCCTCAGGTTGGTATATTGAACACACCGATCATCTACATATCTATTTTTCCCATTGGCACGTCTTTAACACAAACTTTTTCCCACCTGGGTCAGATGTCTCCACATCCAGCAATGCAACAAGGAGGATTTTACATGCAGCAGCATCCTCAAGCTCAAGCTCAGGCTCAGGCTCAGGCTCAAGCTCAAGCTCAAGCTCAGGCACAAGCACAAGCACAAGCTCAAGCAGCAGCGGCAATGGCTCAGCAGTCGCCAGGGGGTTTCCCCCCAAGGAATATGCCATTACAGTATAACAACCCCCCACATCAAATGCAGGATCATCCACAACAATTACACCAACAAGCGATTCATGCACAACAGATGGGAATAAGGCCACCCTTGGGAAACAATAATAGCATGCATCATACCATGCAAGCTGCTGATCCAAATCTAGGAAGCAGTGGGCCCTCCCCAGCAGCAGCAGGATCGAATAAACAAGATGCACCACCTGAAGCTGGATCAACCGGTGGTGATCGCCAGTGTAGCCCGGCTGCTGGTGAAGGTGGTGAGCAGGCGAAATGACCAAACTGGGTTTTGAATAAAACATGAGTATGCCTTCTGCTGTTTGATTAGTTGGCATATTCACAGAGTGAGCCGGATCTGTTTCTTGTGGTTCCCTTTTTGATGTTGTGAACCCAGAACTGAAAGTGGTCCTCTTGGTTTTCGTGTTAGTGTTTGACAGAGTAGTCCTCTAGCGCAAGTTGTTTGGTGTCTGGTCTGGCTACTTTGAAGTAATCTAAACCAGAGCTGTAGTTTCCTTTTCTTTCTGTTTCTTATCTATAGGGTTAGTTTTGGGATGAGTGATTTCTTGTTGTAATCTGTGTGGTAGTGTTGTACTGACTGATGAAACTCTCGATTTCGTCGGGAAGTTTTCAATAACTTGAGTTGGTAACGGAAATCATGTTAGATCAGGTCGAGAAAAGTAACCATAACAAAGAAATTTCTTAGATAAAAGATACAATATACCATTTTAATTAGTTATTTGAATCTCGTCACCTTTCATACATAGGCTGAAAAAGAATACCATTAACTTGGAACAAAATATTCAGGCAAGTAAAATAACCGAGTTGGAAGAAACAAAATCTAAGAGGTGCGTAGCACCCAATGCTGGCCATCGATCTGAACCGTATGCCCATACATCTGGGCAAACAAATGAACCGCCCGTCTGACCGACCGCCTATCCCCCACGAGAAAATAGTCATGCCCAAACATGACCCCACCCGGTCGCAACAACCGGTACGCCCGGTTCAAATCGGACCAAATCGAGGTAAACTCATGACCCGCGTCGATCTCGATCAGATCCGCGGTCACACCCCACTCGCACAACACCGACAGGGTCGAACCGGCGGAGAACGGGAGCGGAAGGACCGAGTCGGTCACGTTGGTATAAACCGCGTTCTGCATGAACTGATACAACAGCGTCACGGCGCCGTTGACTTGCTTAATAAAGGGGAACTCCTCCCTGAACCCGGCCCAACCCCGGAAGTCGTCGATGCACAAAATGACCGTGTCGTCGAGGCCGAGCTCACGCGCCAGCTTGGCCATGTGGACGGTCGACGCGCCGAGAAATGTCCCGACTTCGATGATGACCTCGGGGCGGACCTCCTCGAGGAGGTGGCGGAACACGGGCGTGGTGGAGCCCCAGCCTTTGAGGCACTTGTGGCGGAGGGACCCGGCCACGTGCGGCGGCGGGAAGTCGGAGAAAGGGGAGGTGCCGCCGTAGACGCGGTCGATGAGGGTTTGTCGGATCTGGCGGGTGGGTAAGGGGTTGGCGGCGCAGTTGGGGGAGGCTCGGAAGTTGTCGAGCTCGGCTGGGAGAGTCATGGCGGCGGTGGTGGCAGTTGTTGTTGGTAGTTGGGAGTTGGGGAGGTTGTTGTTGTTGTTGTCGGCGGTGGAGGAGGAGGAGGCGGCGTAGAAGTATCCGATGTAGAAGGAGAGGAGGATGAGGAGAGTGTAGATTGCTGTGGAGTTGGCGGGCTGTTTGTTGCCGGCGGGGAGGCTCTTCCCGTCTTTCATCTTAATTTCTTTCTCTATATTATGGATGAAACTCCGGCGTTGAGGCTAGGAGAAGTGGAATGAGGAAATGTGGCATGGATTTGCGTATCTGTTATAGGTAAATGGAGTAAGGCAGCGACAATGGAATTAGGAAGAATGGAAAAGAAAGGACGTATAGGCATGCATGTCCATTTTGAAATTGCGATCCAAAAGTTGATAGGAGGAAGAAATAAGAAAAACGAGTTATGGGGATGTCCATGTTGAGTATGTGACGCGTATTAGTACAGAGAAAAAGATTGATTTCCAGCAATTTCGAATCACAAGTCATTTGGTTGGGTTGAAAGCAATTGAGAGGGTGAAATTTGTACTTGTTTAAAAGTATCAGTTAGGGTAAATACAATTTAATATCCAAACTTTTCATTTTGAACAATATAATAGCCAAATTTTTCGAAAACAATCTAATATCCAAATCGTCAACTTTCCGTTCGTTTGTCCGTTAGTTGACACTTCAAAAAAGCTTTGTTTAGGGGAAATTGTCACAATACAACTTTGTTTTCTTGTTTTGGCATTGCAGATGACTGCATATTTAGATATTCTATACCATCATGGTGGAGTCATAGACTTCTCGGGTTTGGAACTACGATATGTTGGTGGTTTTTCAGAGAAGATATCGATGGATATTGATGAAGTGTCGTACTTCGAACTTTTTTGAAGTGTCAACTTATGGTCAAACAGACAAAAAGTTGACGATTTGGATATTAAATTGTTTTCGAAAAGGTTTGGCTATTATATTGTTTAAAATAAAAGGTTTGGATATTAAATTGTATTTACCCTATATAATATGAAGTCTTTAACGATAACTTGAGTGATTCGAGACTCGAGTTAACAAGTTAGTTAGGACGGATCATGCATCAATGTTCAAGTTGGTAATTATAAATTGGGCAATGTCTATTTTTTACCCAAACCTTTTTCAGATTCTTTTATTTTAACCAAAGCTATAAAAATTCTATTTATTATCCAAACGTATTATAATTTATCAAAGTCTGGGCATTCATTCTGTTACCATTACTTATTTCGTCCACGTGAGGAGTGAGATTTTGTTTTGTTTTTTGATAATATTTTTATTAAAAATAGTAGATAATGGTATTCTGACCGCCACGTAGGAAGTCAACTCATTATGGTCATACTTAGTCAGCATTACTAACAGAAAAGTTGACGGAGAGTTAACGTTTGGATAATTTTTAGGAATTCAATAGGTTTGGTTAAAATAAAAGAATCCGAAAAAGATTTGGGTAAAAAATAGACATTGCCCTTATAAATTTGAGTAGTTGATAGGCTAATTAATTGTGTGTTTAAGAGTGGATCTTGTATTGTTTTCTATATACCTTACCTTCCTCAAATTGTCGTCAATTATTTGTGGGTTTAGGATTTGTACAAATATGTTATATTATATGCTTAAATCAATAGTTCTTATTTGAAGTCGGAATTCAAATTATTAAAAGTCAAAGAATAAATCTTATAACATTCTTTTATAAGTTGGTAAACAAATTTCAGATAGAAAAAGTGTACCAAATGGAATGAAACTTAGGACGAGGCATGAGTAAATGCCTCTATGTTTGAATCATTGAGATTATTGATGTTAGCCATGAATTTGAAATATGGATGATAATTAGCTACTATGGTTTTCAGGAGCCAGCTACAATTTGGATAGTAGTTAATTATCATCCTTGAAATATTGTACACTAGAGGAGTATTTTCTTTTATTTCAAGTGTTTTTTCATGCAGGGTTTAGTGTCTAGGGATGTGATTTCTTGTTGTTATATGTGTGTTATTGTTTTTTCTCTTTTGTTAATGATGGGGAATTATTCTAACCATCCTTCTTCATCAATTTGAACCATATGAAAATTCGAAGTTAGCATTTTTATGTTAAAGAATTTTAACGTTATCTACACTCATTTTACTTGCATGTTAGTATCACCCTGACCATGAACGTGATTTTTATTGGAATGTTTATGAAACTCAAACCCGTAATTGATATCACCTTGATATCTGGTTTGAACATACCAAAAGAGTTAAGTTTCTTTGTTCAAGAAGAAATGGAAAATGCAAGACCTTTTCTATTATTCGAATCCCATCACATACACATAATAACTTGGTAAACGAATCAACTTGGTATATAAAAAAGTACGAAACCCAAATAACAAACACATTAGTAATGTAGGGATGATAATATCTCTCATACCCTAAATTCAAATATCAGGACACCCGACACCGATCATCGTTATAAAGAAAGTATAAAATAAAAAACAAAATTCGGGTTCAAACTTGGGTGAACCAAAATCAGGAGGTGTGAATCACCCAATGCTCGCCATCAGTCTGAACCCTAAGCCCATAAATCTGAGCAAACAAATTAACCGCCCGCCTCACCCCACGGTTATCCCCCATCCGGAAATAATCATGCCCAAACATAACCCCACCCGGTCGCAACAACCGGAACGCCCGGTTAATATCGGACCAAGCCGAGTTAAACTCGTGACCCGCATCGATCTCGATCAGATCCGCGGTCACCCCCCACTGGCACAACCTGGACAGGGTCGAACCGGTCGAGAACGGGAGCGGCAGGACCGAATCGGTCACGTTACTGTACACCACGTTCTGCATGAACTGATACAACAGCATCACGTCACCATTGATGTGATTGATGAACTGGAACTGCTCCCTGAACCCCGGCCACCCGCGGAAATCATCGATACACAGAATGAGCGTGTCGTCGAGGCCGAGCTGACGTGTCAGGGTGGCCATGTGGACGGCCGACGCGCCGAGGAAGGTGCCGACCTCGATGATGATTTTGGGGCGGACTTCTTCGATGAGGTGGCGGAAGACGGCGCCCTTGGATCCCCAGCCCTTGAGGCTGCGGTGGCGGAGGGAGTTGGCGACGTGGGGAGGGGGGAAGTTGTCGAAGGGGGACGCGCCGCCGTAGACGCGCGTGAGGATGGTTTCGCGGATGAGGTCGGTGGGGATGGGGTCGATGCAGTTGGGCGCGACGCGGAAGTTGTCGATCTCCGGTGGGAGGGTCATGGCGGCGGTTGCGGATGCTAGGCGGGAGGGGAAGTTGATGTTGTTCGTGGCGGCGGAGGAGGAGGAGGGGAATGGGTTGGAGGTGGCGGTGTAGTAGCCGACGAAGAAGGCGAGGAAGGCGAGAGTGAGGTAGAAGGGCGGGGAGGTGAAAATGGAGCGGCAGATGGACCTTTTTGGGGATCTAATTCTGTTGCCGTGGAGGCTCTTGATCTCGTGATCTTTCATGGTTGAGGGTTGGTTTTGGGGAATGTATGTACGTCTGTGTGTGGAGATATATATATGGCACTTTGGAGGGGAAGAATGGCAGCAAGCAACGGGGGTTGCGAAGAATGGGAAAAAGGAGATAGGCGAGTATGCATATGTCCATGTTGAAGTTGCGATCTTGAAGTTGATGGGCTCACAAAAATTAGGAAAACGGGTTGTAGCTAGGGGATGTCCATGTAGAGAGAACGTGACGGATATTGATAGAAGAAAATGATTGATTTAATAATGTAGATTTGCCCAGCAACATTCATTGAAATTGTCATTTATATATTGTGCTTTTCGACATGAAAACTGTGTTTTTTTTTTAGTTTTTTTATTTATTGAGATGTCAGTCAACATTTAAGTAGATTTTTTAATGTTAAAAAGAAAATTAGAATTTTTTTAATTAAGCTTAAGGAATATATACTATATAAAAAGTTCTTCGGAACAACCAAAAACCCTTCTCCTCCTCGATCTTCCTCATAATCGTCATCTAAACAGACTCAGATCTCGTCATCGACCTTCTCTCTCTTCAATCCCAATTCAAATCCGATGTAATCCACCTTGAAGACCTTCCTCCATCCTCTGTAACATTGAGTTTCAAAGAATCTAAATCTAGATTCTCCCTTGTCCCTCATCAGCATCAATTCTCTCCCTCACATCCGCCTAATCGGGCCCGATGTCAAGAACCCTAAGGATATAGAGAAGATGGACCAAGGGTATATTTCTTGAGGCGAGTGGAATATATAAGTGGTGGAATTCGTTCAGCTGAACACTTTGAAGTCTTGGCTAGCATTCACAATCATATTCTTCCTCCGCTGAACGTCCTACATCGTAAAGAAGGTCATTGCAGGCAAGATTATATGTTCCACGATTCGAAGGTCTGGTGGGATGGTGTTCTTTTACCAAGGGGAAGAAACATAGTGGATCAATTGAAACATGGGGAAAATCCCGCTTTCTTTCCTTCTTTCGACTTTTAGTATTAGACGAGTTTCGGGCTTCTAGGCTCTAGCCCTGGTAATGACCTATACTTTTTGTTTCTTTTCTCCGAAAGTGTGGATCTTGTTGCCTTACACGAGACTCAAGCTAATATTTTCGGGGAGTGTGAGTGGTCCACTAGGTTATGGCGTGAATCAGAGCTGACGGATTGCTTTAGGGCTGGGGTTCAAAGCCATGCTAGACACCAAGCAGAGGCTGAGCTGGAAGATTGGAGTGTGCTCTTTTGGTTTCTTTGGGAGGAATGAAATGCCTACGTACATTTTTAATGGCTCTTAATCATAGTGAAGAACCAGAGTAATAAGTAATTTGCCTATTATATGAATCTCACTACATGTATAAATATACCATGACTTGATCAATGAATCGATTTGATAAGAAGAAACAAAATACACATTCAAACAGTTTACATGATAACAACGTGGATGACAACAAAATCTATCGCACCCTAAATGCAAACATTAGAGATACCAATCGTCTCTTATAAAGAAAAATAAAAACATAAATTGAACTTGGAAAGAAACAAAAAGTCAAGAGGTGCGGATCACCCAATGTTCGCCATCGATTTCAACCCTAAACCCATAAATCTTGGCAAACAAGTTAACCGCCCGCCTCACCCCAAACCCATCCGCGTTCCGAAAATAGTCATGCCCGAACATGACCCCACCCGGTCGCAACAGCGGGAAGGCCCGGTTTATATCGGACCAAGCCGACATAAACCCGTGACCCGCATCGACCTCGATCAGATCCGCGGTCACCCCCCACTGGCACAAATTCGACAGGGTCGAACCGGTCGAGAACGGGAGCGGCAAAATCACATCGGTCACGTTGCTATACACCACGTTCTGCATGAACTGGTACAGCAACATCACGTCCCCGTTGACGTAGTTGATGAACTGGAACTGCTCGTTGAACCCTGGCCACCCGCGGAAGTCATCGATGCAGAGAATGAGCGCGTCGTCGTCGAGGCCGAGCTGACGTGTCAGGTTGGCCATGTGGACGGCCGACGCGCCGAGGAAGGTCCCGACTTCGATGATGGTCTTGGGCCGGACCTCCTCGATGAGGTGGCGGAAGACGGCGCCTTTGGATCCCCAGCCCTTGAGGCTGCGGTCCCGGAGCGTGTTGGCGACGTGGGGCGGCGGGAAGTTGTCGAAAGGGGAGGCGCCGCGGTAGATGCGGTTGATTAGGGTTTCGCGGATGAGGTCCGTGGGCAAGGGGTCGGCGCAGCTGTTTGCGACCCGGAAGTTGTCGAAGTCCGAAGGGAGGGTCGTCACGGTGGCGGCTGTTGTTGTTGTTGTTGTTTGTAGTTGGGATGAGAAGTTGTTGGTGGTGGTGGCGGGGGCGGAGGAGGAGGAGTTGGAGGTGGCGGTGAAGTAGCCGACGTAGAAGGAGAGGAGGAGGAGGGTTAGGTAGAATGGCGGGGAGTTGAAAATGGAGAGGCAGAAGGAAGGTTTTGGGGGTCCTTTTTTGGCGCGGGGGCTTTTTATTTCGGGATCGTTCATTGCGGTGAAGGTATATGTGTGTGTGTACGAAGAGATTTGGTTGAGGCTTGTTTTGGGTAATGTAAGGCTATCGGTGTTTGTGTATATGTAGTAGAGTGGGAAAAGTAGGGCTGACTATTTGGTTTCGGACTGTTTGGTTTCACCCGAAACCGGACCGTATAACTCGGATCGGGATCGGACTGGGACCGGATAGCAAACAATGCAATCTCATATTCGGGTTTAGATTTGAGGTAAAAAACCGGATAAGAGACCCCCAACACCTAAAATCAAGATAAAATTAGGACCGGACCGGGTCAAGACCGGACCGGATCAAGACCGGACTGGATCAAGACCGGACTGTATCCAATCCAATCTTTGGTCCGTATATTCCCGAAAAGACCGGACTGAAACCGGATCAATTTGGTCAAATTTAACCGGACCGGACCGTATAGCCACCCTTAGGGAAAAGGGAGGATACGTAGCTAGCTAGATGTCAATATTGAAGTTGAGAGACTCCCAAATAAGAAAAACGAGTTCCAGCTAGGGGGATGTCCATACCATATATAGGATGCGTCGTATTAATAAAGAAAATGATCGATGTCGTTTTAATGTAGAGAGAGGATGTGGTTCAATTAGAGTGCAGAACAACGATGCAAACATGTAAGAACTAAGAACAGAGAGGAGCAGAGGTTATGTCCAAGTTGTTGAGTAAAATGGGTAAAATTATGAGTGATTGATGGATTATAGTTTAAGATGATGATAAGAGCATATTAAGGTTAACATAGATGATTTTTAGTTTGAGATAATGAATATCGAGAATATTTACAAACCAGGAATAGGCTTTGTGGGCTATGAATCGACAGGGAGAGTATCATTTGCTTTTGGTAAATACTACGAAGGTATGCAAAGATTCGTTCCTATTGGAATTGTCGTTAAGAGATGCTATGAATTGATGCCTAATTCATCGTGTGCTAACTGGTGATTCTCAACTGGTTATTCGGCGTGTGAGTTTGGGAGACTTGGCACATGATTTGGGTGGTGCAATTCTAGACGATATATGGCTGATGGCACCTAAATTCCAATTTGTTTCATATTGTTTTGCTCATCATCGCTTCAATAGGGATGACCATCTTGAGCCAAAAAGGACCTCTTATCAAAATTTTGACTACTGGTCGACTTTCTCGAATGGTTAATATCGAACTTATATACATGTACTTTGCTAAAGGCCTAGACCTGGCATTGCGGCTGGGATATAGAAAACTAGAGCTCAATATGGACTCTAGAATAACATTGTACATAATAAAAAACAGAGATCACACTTATCACTGTCACGGGCTTCTTGTGAAGTTGTTTAGTAACTTATTTTTGATGAATTGGACTATTGAGATTAATCATGTTCATCGTGAATGTAATTTCGCAACTAACTTCCTAGCTACTAAGGTCGTTCTTTTGGCATATATCCTTTCAATGCGAGCGACCTGAACCTTTTTTATTGGTAATACCACGATTCTACGGAAAGTTCCATCAATCGTATGATTAATGATATGATATACGACGCGTTTAGCATCTAGTCTATCTAAAAAAACATTTCGAAATTGTTTATGTAGCTAGGCACCACCCACTTGGCCACTTCCATGTATCCAAAATAGAGAAGATTTTTGTTCGATAAAATTGGACTCTTGTTAAGGCTTTGAACATGTGACTTAGACCATGAAGCTATTAATCTTCTCTCTCGATCAACTCAACACGGTAGGGTTTGGTGAGATCCATTCTATGATACTTTTTGGTCCTGTATTTTTTTATCCAGAAATTTGTTGATCCGATAGATCATGATGAAGTTGTTCCTTATGTACAAATATTTTAAAAAACGAAGGATATACCATATGGTATGGAGTTAGTAACGAGAGGTACTAAAAAATTCTAAAAAAATATTGAAAATTGTTTTGTAGAGCAAAAACAAACTCGTTCCATCTATGCAATTTATTTTTTTGAAAAAATAAAGTTAGAATGAAGAAGATAAGAGTTGATTAAGAAAACTTGGAAAAATAAAATATTTTTAATTTCTAGCCTCGAATAAGTTCATAGGTTAGGCCTCGCTCTTCCTTAACCAAGGGTATACCGGACACATAACTAATTAAAAATAACTAAAAAGTTGTCAAAATAGAATAATAAATTCACTTCATCTTATCTAAACTGTGTACATCTTTGTTCTATTGTTCCCCCATTTATTCTTTGAGAGAGCTTATGAGATAAAATTCGAACCCAAATATAGTTTATTTGATTAAAAAATTAAGGATATAAAAATCATATCTTATTGACGGTTCAAACAAAAAAAAATTATACTTAGTATTTGACGATATGAAGTAGTTGAACCACAATTTCAATATAAAATAACATACGACTAATTTTTTCGATATCTGGTACCATTCTCCGATCTCCTTAAAAACTTAAAAAATGGCCTTCCGTGAAGGAATCAAATTTGCCTTTGCTTCCTACAAGATTTGTTTTTATTTGGATGTCTTGTAACTAACATTGTGTTGTCGATGCATTGGGTTTGGACTCTTCCACAATAAACGCCAGTCACGACGTCTCTTCGACTCTTCCTAGTTCATGTTTTCTTATCTTTCTGACTCAATTTGCATCCAGTCAGGGGCGGAGCTACCTTGTGTCTCGGGGGGCCGCCCCGAGAATTTTGTAGATCGTATGTAAAAATATTGGGAATTTTGAAAATTCTGAAGAAGTTAACTATTGTAGAATAACAATAACGTGCAATAATGAGTAACAATGTCTGGGTCTAGTCTAATGGAATGCAGCAGCTGCCTGGTATTTGTGAATACCTAGTACCATGGTTCAATCCCTGGCAGCAACATTGTTTTTTTAGTTTTCCTACTTTGGTTACAAAAAGGCAGCAACATTGTTTTTTTAGTTTTCCTACTTTGGTTGAATTTTTGTTTAAATACTTTTTAATTTCAAAGTTCAAACTAGATAATCAAATTTTGGAGCTTATAATATTTTTATAAATTTTGAAGCTTATGACTCGCAATGTAAATATTTTCTTAATTTTTTTTACGGATATTATACAATAAAGTCCGGCCCCCCCGACCACTGGATCCTAGCTCCGCCCCTGAAGCCACATAGACAACCACCTAGGCGTTTTTCGCATGATATCTTGCCTTAAGTGAAAAAGGAAATTGAACGTTTACTGAAGGCTAATTTTTTTTACGGATATTATACAATAAAGTCCGGCCCCCCCGACCACTGGATCCTAGCTCCGCCCCTGCATCCAGTCACACTTGTCTACTTCTAAAGTGCAAGGGTTGCCAACTTGCCATACTATTTCAGGCCTTGCCGTAAATGACACCGTTTACACGTCCTTACAACCTCGAACAACGATGGCCAGTTTGTCCACCACCAACATCCTTCAGAGCTTGAACAAAGAAGGACTCAAAAGCCTCCATTTCATGCCCAACCAAAACGACGCCGACTTCAATCCCACCACTCCCATCTCCGCTCTCCGCCACAGAGATCCCCCGCGTCTTGTCCAGCGACGTCGTTTCCATCTTCACCGGCTTCCCCAACCCGAAATCGATCTGGTAAAACCCCAGCTTGTGGGACCCAGCCACCCCGAACTTCTGCACTTCCGGACCCACGCTCCTCAGCCGCCCCATCTTCTCCACCGCCGCCTCCGAATTCACTTCCCCCACCGCCGTCGCGACTCCCCTGACCAACTCGCTAATCTTCTCCGCCGCAACCGCGATCCCGTCCTCCCCCATCAAGCTCCCCGCCTCCGCCACCAAGTAATCCACCCCTAAGCAATTCCCGAAGTAATTCGGCGGGATCGCCGCCAGATCTAGCCGGGCTCGGCAATCCACAGACCAAACCAAGTAGACGTCTCTGTCTCTCCTCCCTCCTCTGGCTTTCACCAGACAAACCGCCACCAACGCACACGTCACCACGAACGACGACAGGTGAAGGCGTTCATCCGAATTTGTCCGATGGCTCAGAATCTTCTCTCGGAGTCTCCCAATTGAGTTCGGGCTCAGCCGGAACGTCGCTCGGAGAAGATCCGGCGGCGGCGGGGATACCTTCTGGAAAACGTTCAAGCTACGAGGGTTATAGGTAATCGATTGCCGAGTAAGAACTTCGTCCCACCGATTCAAGTAAGCGGTGGCGAGATCCGACGAATCTTCCACCGCCGTTCGATTGAATGATGGGGTGAGCTCCTTCGGGAGCCGATGATTCTCTCCGTGCTTGCAGATCGAAGCCCAAGCTTTGAGGAACATGGCGGTGGTTTTCCCATCGATGACCGCGTGGTTGAGGGTAATCGCGACGGAGAATCCCCTGTTCCGGAAGTAAGTGATCTGGAGGGATACGACGGAGGCCGTCGTCTCGGAGACTTCTAATTGAGGTACATACGGCCGCGATTCGGCGGCTTCGCGGGGTGCGTCGCCGGCCAATCGGTCCAAATCGGCTGTTGATTTGGCGATGGTTAGAGAGACCGCGTCGCCTGGAGTGTAGATTACGACGGGAGTGGGTGACTGTGGCGGCCATCGGAGTTGGCCGGCGAGGGGGAGGAATTGGGCGAGTGTTAGGGAGAGCGACCGCTTGAGTTTGGGGAGAAGCAGGGAGTAGAAGGAATGGGGAGGGATCGGAGAAGCGGTGGGTTTGTAGAAGTAGATCAACTCGACTGGTGGGAATCTGAACCAGGTGGTGTCGAGGTAAGTTAGCGGGAGTGTGAATTGTGTGGCGGATTCCGGCGAGTCGGCGGCCGGAGTTACCTTGCAGAGTTCTGAAACTTGCAGTGTGGATGCAGAGGATTTGGACGCCATTGTTTCTTTTTTGCGTTCTTTCTTGACTACTGAGTATTTGATAGATATATAAATAACGATGTCCATTGCAAGATGTAAATGGCGGTGAAATCCAGAGAAGAGATTCATCACGTCTCTCCTCGTGCTCCGCCTGTTCGCCTCACCTGCCGGCTGCCAACGTGGAATTGGTTAGCTCTGCCTCTGGTTGAATTACGCTTGCATTTGCGTCATTTGTTTATCTGTCGCTCCGCCACAAGTGCTCCTTTTGGAAGATTGGTTGGCGGAAATGCTAACGCTGCTATATATTCACGATGATCTGACTGGCGAATGATGTGCTCTGCTCCATACAGGACATAAAACAAACTACCTATGGACCATTTACACAAACTTAAAAATAGAGACTCGACTAGAAGTAAAACATGTCCAAATCAAAGTAAAAAGCATAGATCAGGAAACCGGATCGTACCGGCCGGTTCAACCGGTTCAACCGGAAATTGGACAAAAAGCGGTACGGTGGGCTTATTGTGCCGATTTTACCTTGCCGGCCGGTTTTTTCGGTTTGACCGGTTGAACCGGCCGGTATGATCCGGTTTCCTGGTCTATGATTCAGCTTCATTTCTCCGTATTCTCGTCCAATATGTGGAAAATAATTAAAAAGAATATTATTTTGCTATTTTTCTATGTTGAAAATGGGTCACCGTGGTTGTATAATGCTCTATTTGGTTCTTTTTTTGATGGATTATATTTTTTTTACTATCGCATTTCATTTCTCTATCAATAGTGAAAAACGATATTTACCGGTACAAAATGATTGAACCACGGTCGTACCACAAAATACCATACCAGAAAGGAATCCGGTATGATGTCCGGTACGGTTTCCTTTACCATGGTAAAAAGTAGTGATGGCAATGGATGGGCGGTACCTCAATACCCATGCCCCGTCCCATGTTATTATGGGTCGGGGCGGATAATACTCGTACGGGTACGAGGCGGCGGGTCGACCCAGTTTTACATGTTATTTGGTGAAAATACAAGCAAAAATTCACTTTTTAAGATAAAGTGAAGGGGAAAAGACTTCATGATTGAATAAGAGTGATAATATAATGGGTAATTGAGTCTATTTAGTTGAAAAATCAAGTCTAATTAGTTTTAAAAAAGCCAAAATAGGAGATATATGAATGGATATCATAAGAAATTGACATAGAACAGACCAAGAACGGGGTGGGTCGGGGCAGGGCGAGTCGAAAGTTGATACCCGTGCCCCGCCCCATATTACAGTCTACAGCTGGTCGGATAATACCTGCCCCATCGCGAGTCAGGTCGGGTAATACCCGGCGGGGCAGGTTCAAATTGCCATCTCTAGTTAAAAGTCTAATTCTATCCTACATAGAGGCCATTAAATACAAGGTTGTCAAACAAGTTTTTACTGTTGCACTAGTTTATACAGTGAAATGGTTCGATCAGTAGTATAACCGGTGTGTGCCGATTCATACCAATTTAACAAAATATGTAAAAACTCATTAACAATGAAATTAATCATATATAAACGTATTTGAACTTAATTTATTTACAATTGAAATTGATATTTAAATAAAATCCGACATTTACCATAAGATTACATATACTCATATTTAAAGACAATATTTAACGTAAATATCTAAACGTTTATACTTGAATCCAACAAATAACATCAACATTTAACTTTTTGATATATTAATTTTTTATTAATTAAATTTACTAAAATAACATCATTTTGCTTAGAGATCGTAACCGTTACCGATTATGCCGACCGGTGTGACAACCATAATTAAATTTCAAAGAGAATGATGCTTCCACTCTTCTTCTTCCCTCACAAAAGGAACACTCTCACTTAAAGACTCTCTATGTAAGAACGGAAGAGGAAACATAGTTCACTTGAAGAACATATTAGAGTTAAAATGAAAGCAAATGGGTACATGCCTTTTATATTTAGTGTTTTAATTAACTGTATATTGGAGATTGTGGAGATTCAAATACACGATCACTTGGTTAAACCAGCTTTAGTATCATGCCAAAATTATTTGATTTTAATAACTCGAGTTGTTAGACGAATGTTGATTCTGGAGAAATAATAAGTTGAAGATGGATTTTAACTCTGGTCTCATTGTTCTCACATTTATCAATTACAACTTACTCTAAAAGATAGAGATGAGGCATCTATAACATACACCATTGTCATATACAGATGATTATAAAATCCATTATCATTTATAAATGATTATGAAATCCATTTTACATCTTAATAAATAGTATAGAAATGTTATAATTAGATGTTTACAAATATTACAAATAGAATGCTCATATACATATCCTGTGTTTCAATGTGAATGACGACCAACTTTATATATACTGATAAAAAAAACATTTTCTTTCTGGATATGTATGTGAGTTTTTGATCAGTGATGAGATTTTACTTCCGTATATAGTCCAAAAAAAAAACGCATTGTTCTGTCTCCCATTGTTTAATAAGAAAACAGGTGGTGAGAAAATAGTTAGTTGTAAAAAATACGATAAATGCCCATAAAATTGTTTTTTTTTTCAGAAATTAGATGAATGATGTTAGATTATGCAGTAAACTACAGTTCATAGTTTTCGATTCTATGGGCTGGGATCAGGTGACTAAGAGGGGTCCCCTTAGTCATATGGCTAAGTGAATCTCAGCCACACAACTTCATTAAAATCCAAGGGTTCCTATTAATCCAAATTAATGAAGGACAATGTAGTAATTGCATGTTTATTTTTTATATTTAATTATAAAATGAATAAAAAAATTAAACAGCGCCGGCCGCAACCTCCCGTCTCCGTCCGATTGTTCGGCGGTGGCTCCCCTCCCCTGGGCAGGAGAGTTTCCCCACCTCTCTCATGCACCATTATTTCTCTAATTATTCCCAGAGGGAGAATGAATTTCCCATTGTTGGGAATTGTTTGGAGAGAGAGAGAGAGAGGAGAGAGAGAGAGATTTTCTGGTCGGAAAATTTTTTCCGGCTAACATCCTCGCCGGAGAAGAATTTCCCGGCGACAGTGCTGATTTTGTGATGTTTATTGACATATTTTGTAATGTTTGTATGTTTTGTTATTTTGTAATGTTTGTCGTTTTTTTTTGTAATGTTTGTAAACTTTGTTATTTTTGTGCACCATGTTTGTAAACTTTGTCATTTTTGTGCACCATGTTCGTAATGTTTTTTATGTCTAAAAAACACCCGGGTTGACTTTGGGAAGGAGCCCCTCTATATAGGGATGAAGCCTCCAAAGTCAACCCGGGTGTTTTTTCCCGTTCGTATGGATTGTCGGTCTAGTTTGTCATTTTTGTCCACCATGTTCGTACTGTTTGTATGTCTAAAAAACACCCGGGTTGACTTTGGGAAGGAGCCCCTCTATATAGGGATGGAGCCTCAAAAGTCAACCCGGTTGTTTTTTTCTTTTTGTATGGTTTGTATTGTTTGTCGGTCTAGTTTGTATTGTTTGTACAGTTCATACGTTTGTAATGTTTGTAAATCTGTTTGTATGTTTTGTCGCTCTAGTTTGTACTGTTCGTATGTTTGTATGGTTTGTACAGATTGTAAATCCGGTTTGTATACTTCGTAATTTTCCATAATACCCAAACTACCCCTGCCATTAATTAAATAGCCCTTCCCACTTTTTAACCATTGGATTGAAGTGTCCAGATCTAATGGCTAGGAGGGACTTAGCCAAGTGACTAAGCACCCCCCTTAGTCACCAGATCCGCTCTCTCGATTCTATTGAATTTTGTACCACAATTTGATATTCAATTAGCTTGTTGTAAAATTTATATTTCACAAATATCTTATGATTTTATCGGTAAGGCTGATATACGTTCGTCGTTATAATTTGGGTTGGGCCTCTCCAACCCATCCGAATCCCTAGAAATACAAACCTCCCAAGTAAGTAATGTCTTTCCTTTTGGGCGGGGGAGCGATTGTGATTTGTGATTGGCGACCCGATAGAATTCATACCCTGAGGCCTGAGCCAGAGATGACAATAACAATAACCCGGTCACGGTCAGGACCAAACTGTGCCAACTGCAGAGAAAAAAAAAGAACTGGATCCGGAATCCAGAGCGTTGCACCTCTCTCAACTCTCAACCAACTTCAGGGGGAAAAAAGCACACATCACACAGCTAGATTGTAGCTTTCCGTCTCTCTTTCCTTCCCTTCGGCTTCTCCCGACGCTGTCGCTTGGACTTCTCCTCCTCTGCCTCCTCCTCTCGCCATTTCCTCGCTTGACACTTTGAACGGACAGCGCCATCTCAGCCCATCAAATCCCTGCTACTTCCGGAGCTCAAATTCGTTTCCACATCGGGTACATTTGCATCCCCTCCTTTCTTTCACCGTATCGAATCTGGATTGCACAGTCGTGTCTGGCATGATGGCTACACCGCTGTTGCTAGGCCTCTCTGCCGAGCACTCGTTGGTGCTTTGTAAATTTGATAAGGGATCAGAGCTGGTTATTTGGCACTCGTTCAGGGGGAGGTCGCTTAGGGTTTCATTTGTTCGTCGTTCATGCTGTATGGATACGAGGGGTATAGCGGATTTCATTTGTGATCTAGTTGATGTAATTGCTAGGGATTCATAGGGAATTCTTGATTTTTGGAATCACATTGTCGTGAAATGTGAGTACGGAAGTTAATTTTGGGTTTTTCTTCTTCTTCTTCTTCTTCTTTGGTTGTGCGCCCATGAGTAGGTCTGCATGCTCGTATTCCTCCTTGGATTCATGGTTTCTAGCTATTCCTAAACGTGTCAAACCTTAGAGCCTACTTTTCTTGGTTAACATTTTCCTCTGCGCTTCGGGGCTGGTTTCAATTGGTGATGTAACTAATGACAGAGCTTTCGTTTCAATAGAATGGCGTCAGAAACAGTCAATCCAAATGTCCCCAGCGCGCAAACTGTTGGAAATGCCTTCGTTGAGCAGTATTACCATATTCTTCATACCTCACCTGAGTTGGTTCACCGATTTTACCACGATTCCAGTGTGCTAAGCCGTCCTGATGGGAACGGTGAAATGACATCAGTGGTAACCATGCAAGTAAGCTTTTCACAGTTACTATTAGTTGGTGTTTAATAATAGACTGTCCTGCATTTACTGATCCGATGGTTCATGGTCTGTGGTTGAACTTCTTGCCCTCTTTTACCCCCTTTGTGATAGGGTATCAATGAGAAGATACTCTCATTGAATTTCAAGGACCAAAAGGCAGAGATCAGAACAGCGGATGCCCAGAAATCTTATAAGGATGGAGTTACTGTGTTGGTGACAGGGTGCTTAACAGACAAGGACAATGTAAGAAGAAAATTTGCGCAGTCATTTTTCCTTGCACCTCAGGACAACGGATATTTTGTCCTCAATGATGTTTTCCGGTTCGTTGAGGACAATGAACCACTGGATAACATCTCGGTCAATAGTATTGACAACACCCTGGCAGTTCCCTCAGTGCCAGATCCAGGTAAGACCAGCTCTGTATTTAACCCAAATCAAACTCCATGTGTCTTAGACTTTTCTCCTAGATCTAGAACTTCTAACATTTCGTAGTCTTTTACATCCAGAGCCTTCACATGTTCCTGAACCTTCTGCTCCCGATCCTTCAACTTCAGTTGAGGTAGAGGTTGCAAAGGCTTCTGAAAATGAAAGTGAGCCATCAGACCATGAGAAGAAGTTAACAGTGGAAAAAGAAATTCCAGTAGAACCTCAATATCATGCAAACGGGAACCAAACCTCTGTAGTTGATGAATCAGCTTCTTCTACAGCTCAAGAGGATGCTCCTAAGAAATCTTACGCATCAATTGTATGTCTCGTCTCAATAGATTTCAACTTGAAATATTTTGAATCATATTTGTCCTGATATCTACCTTACTTTGTTGTAGGTTAAAGTTGCAAAAGGTAGTCCTGGCCAAATGAAAGTTTATGTTCCTACTAATTCAGCAAAGGCAACCTCTAAGAAAACTGAGGATCCACCAGTTACTGTGGTATCCGCTCCAGAGTCTGAATCACGTATGCCATCTGGTGGTGATGCACCTACAGATAGCTTTGATCAAGATGAAGGTGCGTTACTCTTCATGTATATATGGTGTTAGTATGGAATTCTTCTTTATCTAGTTAATTTTCACTAGAGATGGTGTGATATGTCCATTTCACTCTATATGGAATTCTCGAATGCAAAATTAAGGACATGGAATAATAAAATTGATTAATTGATGAGTTAGATGGTGATTAATGTCTCATTTTTTTTGTTGGAAACTGTTCATTGTTTCCTTGAAGTATATCATCTAACTATTTTCTACTCCCAGTTGAGGGCCACTCCGTTTACATTCGGAATTTGCCTCATAATGTGACTGTCTCTCAGCTTGAGGCGGAGTTCAAGAAATTTGGACCAATCAAGCCTGAAGGAGTCCAAGTTAGATACAATAAGGTTGGTTTGGAAACATTGTGAAGCATTCCAGTAGTTATTTATACTTTGTCTCTCTTCGGTATGATGATATATCTCATGTATATTTCTGGTACATGCAGCAACAAGGATATTGTTTTGGTTTTGTTGAATTCCTTTCTCCGGACTCCATGAATAATGCAATCCAGGTTTGTTCTGGGCAATACCTTTTCCTTACAATTTGTTTCATGCTTATGTTTTTGTTTTGTTTTATTTAGGTCAACAAATTGCAGTCCAAGTTAAATTAGTTGGATTAGCTACTTCCCAGTCAAGATAATTTTCAAAATATCAACATTCTTTCAGAAAATCAAGCTATGCTGCTGTTTTTTCTTTCTTATAACGACAGTTTCTGCATGATTCACTTTCTATGTTATATAATGACACTTGCTATGCTAAATATTGTCCTTTCCAATGTCCTTTCCACTCCATCTCATTCTCCATATGTTGTATCAGGAATGTAGGATGACTTTAGCTTTGATAATAATTGGCATATAAAGCTCCCAAGTTTTGTTGTGAAATTAATTAGTCATTTGCTAAGGCTCCTTGCTGTATTCTTGTGAGCTAGTTTGCCGATGTCCTGAAATGGGAAAACCTGGATGTTTTGTCACACACCTAGTTGACTCTTCCATGATGCACATGCTGGGTCACGTAGATAAAAACTAGTTTTCTTTAGTCACTTTTGACTGCTCCATCAGCCTAATGTGAAATGTAAATGTTCAAATAGAACTGAGATCCAGCTATATGTCACTCTGCTTTCCTCCTAGCTTGTTAGCTAGGTACTATAGATGTTTTAAGGAAACTTGCACCTGGCTGATGTATTGTGGTACATGTTATAGGTACCCTGTTTCTCATATAAGGTAGTGTAGATGTGTTTTAGTAGTACAAGACTAGCTTATTCTACTAAATCTGGATGGGGAGAGGTAGAAAGATACTTAAGGACGCAATAGTGAGGCGATAGAGAATTTGAGATGGAAAAATGAGGTGGTACTGTTTTATTGTCTAAGATTCAATGGCGAGCTTGTGATTTAGCATCCCTAAGTGAGTCTGACTACTTGTGAAACTGCCATCTGGCTACGCATAAAACTAGGAGTCAGGCTCATGCCTAATTTTTTGCTGTCCTGGATATGTTAATTGTTGCAAGTATATACAGCTGAAGTGGTCCATGCTGATTCTGTTTATTGTGATTTGCTTTGCTGGATATGCTTTTCGTTTACATATTTGTCTTTGCTTATTGGTCCAGAACTTATTCTGAGATGCTAACTGGAGTTCTATTGCTGGTAGTACTTGTTTGACTATATTTAGTCCTGTTGTCCAGAAGTTAAATTTTCAATATTTCCTGTGGTACTATGTGTTGTTACAGGCTTCTCCTGTTCCAGTCGGAGGACGGCAATCAATTGTTGAGATGAAGAGAACTTCAACTCGAGGTGAGTTTGAGACTCTGCATCCATGTTTAACTATCTGATTATCTTTTTTGAAACTTTTAAGTGGCTTCTCACAATCTCATATTGATGCTGAAGTTAGAAAGGGCAACCGAATGATCGTGTTATGTATTTAACATAAACTTGTAAACCGAATCGTTGAATGATGGTAGTTGGTGTTGCAGTTGGTAACGGAAGAGGTAGATTCCCAACAGGAAGGGGTGGAATGTATCGCAATGACAGCTTCAGAGGGGGTCGGGGGAACTACGGTGGAGGTGGTAGGGGTTTTGGTGGAAGACCGGAGTTTAACAACAACAACAACAGAGGTGAATATCCCACTGGTAGGGGAAGGGGTTATCCAAGTGGTGGCAGAGGCGAAGGTTATCAACAAGTTAGAGGTAGAGGCGGCCGTTCAGGTGGAGCAGCTAGGCAACCGAATAGCGCTAATGCCTCGTGAAAACTCCCTATTTCTCTCTGTGTTGGAGTTTTCATTCCTCGACTGTTCATCAACTGTTCATCCCGTGGGAGTAAGTAAGCGTCCTTGTTTTCCCTGTCTATTAGAAATATAAATGTAGAAGTGTTTTGGGTATTCCAGAAATGGATGACCTCTAGATTGCTATACCAGCATGGTTGTTTGCCATAGTGGGGTGGGAGTCCCATTTTGTAGGCTTTAGAATTAGGAGTAGCCATGCAGGCGTGGGGAACATACTCAACTCATCGGAAGTTCTTATTCCGATGTCGGCTGATCGGTAGATTTTTGGATGTTGATCATGATAGAGAAGAGGTTGCACAGTTAATTGAGAGATGGGTTCCTAGCTATTATTCAAAGGAGTGTTTTCTTTCTTCCTTTCAGGCAAAGCATGTTGATTAATTGTACTAAGTAGTATGCACGATGATAGTCGTTGAACATAATCACAAACTGGAGACAGTTTGGTACACAAAGTCATTAGATTTACACTCAAATTCTTTTGTTAGTGAAAGAACACATCAACGAGGTTTAAAAAAACACATCTATAGGCTGTTTGGTACAACATATGAAGTCTGAAACAGGGTCAGAAATGAACTCTCGAGTCTCGATCGTTTATAAAGACCTCCAAAATTCTAAGTTTATGAAATCATGATGAGGAAGACCTGGAGAAACAGGGCAAGCAAGACAGCCAGCTCCTTACCGCCGCCGTGACCTTGGTGCACAACGTGGTTTGAGGTTCTTCTGTCTTCGTCTGCACTGGCTGCTGCTCCGGCTGTTCTTGTTGTTGCTCTGACAGTTTTTCATTCTGACGAGTCTCCGCTTCATTTGGCTCCTCCGCCACCGCTGCCTTCTTCTCCCCTGCAGCCTTCTGCTCTGCTTCCACTTTCCTTGTACTGTTTCTTCCCATCTGTTCGTTCTGCAATCTGAAAACCCATCAACAAAGATTAATAAATTTCTCCTTAACTAAACCCCACGAAATTGACTGATTGGTTGATCAATAGATACTCACATTGGGAACTGGAAAGATTTGGTGCTGCTGGTCGAGTTCCGATTATTGCTGCTGCTGGAGGTGGAATTCCGATTAAGGGAACAGGCAGCTGACTGCGTGCTGGCAACTGGGGCGGCGGCAGCGGCGGGTGGAGGAGGAGGGAGCTGTACCTCCGGAGGGACGTTAATGGTGATATTGTTACTCGGCGGAGGATTAGCTGGGACGTGAATGTTGATGATATTGATATTGTTGATGGGCTGATTGGCAGGAGGAGGCAGGGGAGGCTGCCATGTGGCGGCGGAGGGGGAAGAAGGTGGTTGGTTGTTCGTTGTCCTGGCCGCCGGCGTTGGGGGAAGGGCGGCGTAATAATCTTGATCGAGCATGGGGAGCTCCCCGGATTTATACATCATTGCAATTTGGTCCCTGGAGAAGCTGTTGTTGCCCATGTAGATGCTGAACAGGGACTCGTTCGACGCCGTGCTCCAGTCGATCCCGTTCCCCGACTTGGACGCGAACACGCCGGACGGGATCCGATTGGGGTCGTAGCCGGGTACTGCACAGCCGGCGGTGGGGGAGGTGGGCGTCGGCGGTCGGGGTGGGGAAGAAGAGTCGGCGGAGCTGCTGATGACTGAACCCTCCACGTCACTGCTGGTGACGGCATGGCGATGGCGATGGCGATTGCTGTTGTCGTCAGCGCTGGCCGTGGAGTGGTGGCTGTTTGGGCGCGGGACATTGTTGTGTTCGCGGTCCATGGTTTGACGAATTTGACGCTTTTCTCCTCTGTTTTGTTGGTGATGGCAACTCTGCGGCTAATGCAAATCCGGGTGAGCCGGAGCTGAAATTGCAGACGGCGAAGATGATTGAAGGGAGGAAGGAAGAAGATGGATTATAATTAAGACGATGAGTGGATTAATGGCCGGATTAAGAGAGCCCCGTGCAACAAAGCCAAACTGAATTAATCATAATCGCGTTTACTTGATAAGTGTCATTACCTAGCTGTTAACTGATTTTACGCGGGAACTGACAACAGAATTTCTCCGTCAGTGATAACCGAGGCGTCTATCTATAACAATATTATTGGGTTAGTTCCTGCAAATGGTTGTTTGTAGTTTGTGATTAATGCACAGCAGTTCTAGGTTAAACAATTACTAGCTATTTTTGTTGCTAGAAGATGCTCTTTCACCTTGGAAAACCTGCTAACAATATCGCGTGAGTAGTTTGGGATTAATGCACAACAATTATTAGTTTGTACCGTTTGGTTATAATATCATATTGCATAATTAATAGAATTTAGACTTATTTGATTTGGTAATTATCATGATAACCATTTGAACTCCCGAAAATCTAAGCTAGTCAGTAATAGAGAAATCAGTGTATGTTCCATTTGTCAGCAGTTCGATTCTAAGCGACAACTGGTTTTAAACTGTAGATTTTGTAGTTTTAATTGATTTCCATGTCTTGGTTTTTTATCAGGTCCAATATGCCTGAATATTTAATCATTCAACTAATTTAATTTTAATATGACCGAGTAATTCAACTTTTATATTATGGTTTTTAAGGTCTTTAATTTCAAATTAAATATTTTCTCCCATTTTTTCAGTTTTATACCGCTACACAATTTGTCGTTTTGACGTACATAAGTTATTCAACTTGCATATATGTTTTTGTTTCAGCCGAGAAACATGGGAGACGCCGGACCTGTGAAAGGGCGGGGTTGGCCCCGATTCTCTACCCTCCGACGATCAACATTTGTGAACTTATAAAATAAGAAGAGCAAAGATAGAGAGAGATTGTATAGAGAGATAAGTGATATGTCCAAAAATGAGAAGGAGAGGAGAGCTCCCCTTACTTGGAAGACCTATGAGCATATTTATAGGTAGTGTCTTGGGACACTTTGTTGGGCTTTAGTTGGGCTTTTGTGATGTTTCATGGGCTCGGGCCCATATGTGCTCAATGGACTATATTTACTTGTGGGATTGAGTGATGTCATACTTACACCCCCAACAATTGTCCCCCAGTTAGGTATCCAGCGGTACACTGGATGCCTAACTTTCATGTTGTCGAACTTTTGTAGTCTCTGCATCTGGCATATAATGTGTGTGCGCCTCTTTGTACTCTGGCTGGTTGACTCGTTGAACAACATACAACAAAGACTATGCAAAACTGAGCGATATATGTGACTCACAACCTGGTTAGAGATATAACTCAAGTAGTGACAAAAAATTATTTATTGCACTCCTAATGTCTAACAAGGTTACGACATTTTAGGCGTCTAACTGAAGATTTGAGTCTTGGACATATTTACAGGCTCAACAATTGTCTCCCAACCTCATAATGACTCATGAATTCTTAGCAAAAACTATGTAGAGAAGGAGCAATGTAACATAATGTGACTCACAACATGGTTAGAGATATAACTCAGACAATGACATAAAATTACTTATTGCACTTTCAATGTATAACAAGAAGACTATGGCGTTTTAAACACATATATAATTGGAGATTTTCTTGGCTTAGAAAAATCTTGAATGCATATGCACCTGCTATCCCTAACTGTCCCCCAGTTAGGCGCCCAGTGATGCAATGGACGGCTAACTAAAATCTCTCTACTTGTCAAATTACACATAAAATTATTTGATGTTATTCCACCAATCCCATGTCCCCCATATCACAGTAAATTGGAAGAAGGATAAGAGAATGACGATAATAAGAAGTTAATAATCAATTAACTCATGCAACATTTAGGAATATATTCGTAGTAGTGAGAGGAGATACGTAGCTTAATCGGAAAGTACAATGCTAGCGCCACCGGACCATAGGCGCCCTTGGCGCCCTTATTTCGGCTTAGGCTCCCTACGCCTGTACTGACCTGACGCCTTGGAATTTAATCCACCGTGCTACTCCAAATGCCAAGCCGTTGAAATTTGTGTCATTGAGCCCAACCATAGTTGTCAAACCGGTGGTATGCCGGCCGGTTGAACCAGGTCCAACCGGTGCCGGTCATGAAACCGGCTGGAATACCACCGGTATTTTGTTGTGGTCAAAGCCGGTCAATACCGGTCAACACCGGTCAAAACCGGGAATTCCGACGGTTCAACCGGAATGTTAAGTGCCGGTATCTGAATTCTGGAGACATACTCCGTCGTCCTCCGCAAAATCCTCAACTGCCCCGCCTCCTACCTCTGGGTTCGAACGGCTGTGGAGGAAGCATATTTTCCCTTCTATGTTTATTTCATCGGAGAGGACAAGGAATAGACAGAGAGCAAATCAATTGAGAGGAGAGAGGAAGGATATTTCCCCTTTTGATTCTATGTTTGGACGACGGCTGAGGAAAAGGAATGAGAAGGATAGGGGAGAGGAGCGGCTAGGGTTGGAGAAAGGCTACTGGGGGATTTTGGGAGAAGGGTAGTACGTACACGAGACAAAAATCTCTCCCTTTTTTGGTTTTTTTATTTTTATAGTTTGTTTGTTTTATTTATTTTTATATAATCTTATTTTTCCTATTTAATTACTGAAACCGGCATAAACCGGCATACATACCGGTTGTACCACGGTCGAACCGTTTCGCTTACAAAACCGGCGTAACGGCATAAACCGGTTTGACAACCTTGAGCCCAACTCATGAAGCATTTTGGCTGTACTTGGGGCGCCTAACCCTTTTCATGCGCCTCTAGTTTAATTCCACCTTTTTGTTGTGATGATTCCCTCTTTAAGTGTTGAATGCATTAAATGCCTCTTTCAAGGCGCTCAATCAACTTATGATCCTCTCAAGCTTCACATCACACATAAACATCTATCTAGTGTTATGAGCATTATCCTGGACACAATGCCATATATTCCCCGGCTAAATTTAAGTGCTTTAAAAATGTAACGAGAAAAGTAATTTCCACCAAGGCGTTTTAATTTTAAAGGTGCGGAAGATATTTCCAACCAATATAATGGGGCAGAGAGTAATTCCATTCAAAGGCGCTACACTCGGGTGTAGAGAGTATTTCGGTCCAAGGGCGCAACGTTCAGGCGCGGGGAGTCAATTTATGGGCGCTACACTTGGGCGCGGAGAGTATTTCAATCCAAGGGCGCTATGTTCAGGCGCGGAGAATATTTCAATTTACGGGCGCTACACTTGGGCGCGGAGAGTATTTCGATCCCAGGGCGCTACGTTTAGGCGCGGAGAGTATTTCACTTCAACGACGCTACAATCGTCACGGAAAGTATCCTACAGAGAACGCTTGAATTCATCAAGTTTTGTGATAAGTAGCAGGCGCCTGATGAATGAAGCACTGGTTGAATGTTGTAGCACGTATTTCACCACGATGACCATTAATTGAAGTTTTGTACGCCTGTTAGCCTTAATCCTTATCCTTAGTTGTTTTTTTTTTATCATCTTTCATCTCTTTTATAATTACGTGGGCACTTTAGGACATGCATGCACTTTAATTACGTGGGCACAAAGTGTATTTTCAACCAACGATGTATTTAGGAGTAGAGAGCCTTTCTAACTATGGACGCATAGATATTTCCCCTCACAGGCGCTATATGTGGGCGCCGGGGATATTCCAAAACCAATGGGGTTATACTTGGACGGGGAGAGTAATTTCGTCTAAGAACGCAATATGAATGCAGATGTTTTTAGTGCTTTCATGGCAATGTAAAAGTTATATGAATCATGAAAGATATAAGCAGTATGTAGCCACATCATGACACGACACTTAAGAACATAGTGCGATAGCACAAAAGAGGCATGTACTTAGCTTGTTTCCTGATAACGAAGCGGTTCAAGACTGATGATCACCAGGCGCCCCAACTCAACGATGAGGCAAGGCGGCATTCAAATAGGCGAGAAAGCACGCTATGGCGGGCGCCCAACGCAACAAAGCACGCTATGGGGGCGCCCAGCTCAACAGCGTCGAGGTGTCGATAACAAAAATAGGGCACGTGTGTACGGGCGCCTACCGGATGGCAACGGGTGAGTCACATTCGGGCGCCTATGACTAATCTCCTGGAAGTCTTGGGACGTTGGACATCAGAGTTCATCATGGCGGGCGTCTTTGTATGCGGTCGGGGCGCCTACGACTAATTTCCTGAAAGTCTTGGGACGTTGGACATCAGAGTTCATCGTGGCGGGCGTCTTTGTTGCGGGCGTCTTAGTGTTCACTGAGCTCTTTATCGGAAGACTATCGGTGCTTCCTCTTGATTTTGGTTGCAACGACACTCGTTTGGAGGTGCATCGTCCTCCCGACAGCCTCGACTAGCGTCTAGCGATATGGATCTTTCTCTGCTTGTGCTTCCTCGACTGGATTTTCGAAGAGAGGGGATTGGATTAGGCGCCCCTTCATGAGCGTCAGATTTGGAGAGGAAGCTAAGATAAAGCCTTCATTGAAATAGAAAGGAAAGCTGGACTAGAGGGATGGGGTGACTGGCTATTTGGAATGGTGCATGTACTCAGCTCATATTTCAGCAAGCTGGACACGTGGGAGGTAGCTGATCTAGGTGGAGCTTTTGTGGTTGGACCCTCAATTTCTTCAGGATGAAAGAGAATTTCACGTTCGGGGTCTCAATTTCCATGTGCGCGTCTGTACTTTCTATTGGCCTTTGAGGCGCTCAACTTCTTCTTTTCGGCGCCAGGAAACAAATTGTGGATCTGGGCGCCAACACTCAAAAACTTTTATATCACCATTTCTCGATGTCCCTATTTTCTCGACCCCCTATCTGGCGCGCCAATTGTTTCAGCCGAGAAACATGGGAGACGCCGGACCTGTGAAAGGGCGGGGTTGGCCCCGATTCTCTACCCTCCGACGATCAACATTTGTGAACTTATAAAATAAGAAGAGCAAAGATAGAGAGAGATTGTATAGAGAGATAAGTGATATGTCCAAAAATGAGAAGGAGAGGAGAGCTCCCCTTACTTGGAAGACCTATGAGCATATTTATAGGTAGTGTCTTGGGACACTTTGTTGGGCTTTAGTTGGGCTTTTGTGATGTTTCATGGGCTCGGGCCCATATGTGCTCAATGGACTATATTTACTTGTGGGATTGAGTGATGTCATACTTACACCCCCAACAGTTTTCTTAATTCTTTAATACAAAATTAGATACTTTAAATTCTTCGATTTGCAAATTACGTAGTTTTAATTGATTTTCATGTCTTGATTTCTTATCAAGTCCAATATGCCTGAATATTTAATCATTCAACTAATTCATTTTTAATATGATCAAGTAATTCAACATTCGTAGTATGTGTTTTTAAGGTATTTAATTTCAAATTAAATATTTTTCCCATTTTCAGTTTTATACGGCTACACAATTTGTCGTTTTGACGTACATAAGTTATTCAACTTGCATATATGTTTTCTTAAGTTCTTTAATAAAAAATTAGATACTTAAAATTCTTCAATTTGTAGCTTTATTCGACGATTCGATGTACCATACGTGAAATTTAATCGTTAGTTATATAGGGTGGCATTTTTCTTATGAAATTTCAAGATTTGTTGATCAATTCTCTTTTATTTTGCATCCTTAACCAGTTAAATACCTAGGTATGTAATAATTAAAAGAGTTTAAGAAAAAGATAGTATCGGCAAGACCAATAAGCAGTGGCGGATACATGCACCTTTAGGGGTGTCCCGGGACACCCCTAAAATTTGGGAAAATAATTATTCAACCCCCGGTAGTAGTTTCGTATGGATAAAAATATTATAATTGATAATTCGAGACACCCTTAAATTTTGGGAAAATTATTATCATGTCCTCGGTAGTAGTTTGCGTATAATTAAAAATATATAAGTGATACTCTGTGTTAATCAAACCTAGGACACTACTATCATTAAACATATTCTCTAGGTTGCAACTCATTTGTTGTTCTATTTTAAAAATTATGTATTAGTAAAAACACTATTCTTTATTCTCAACTATTTTCAAAACCTAACAATTAAACTCATTCGAGTTATTCTTAAATGATTTTATAGTTACACCACAAGAGTTCTTTGAAGTTTGAGTTACATCATGAATAAGATTAGAAATCGAATATGCGATCAGTTCGTGAATTATTGTCTAATAGAGTATACAGATTTGTTGATCGATGTCGTGAATTATAGTTACACCGCAAGAGTTCTTTGAAGTTTGAGTTACATCAAGAATAAGATTAGAAATCGAATATGCGATCAGTTCGTGAATTATTGTCTAATCGAGTTATTAGAAATCGAATATGCGATCAGTTCGTGAATTATTGTCTAATAGAGTATACAGATTTGTTGATCAATGTAGACATCGAGTCTATTTTATATTCTTTTTCATAATATGAAAACACGTCGTGGTCTTTGGTTCAAATTTTCACTATTCGGATATTTTCTTATTTATGAATTATTTAATTTAATTTTTAATTAAATTTAATTTTTGTAAGAGGACACCCCTATAAAAAATTCCTGAATCCGCCACTGCCAATAAGCTTCCCTGTAACAGCACCAAACTGTAAGTGGATTTTTCTTTTGCCATAAATTATTTAAATCACACGAAAAATGAGGGAATCAACATCCAAATATATCATTAGTTCATCGAATTACTATGCAATCATTCAGAGAGCGAAATCAAATTCCTTAGAAAGCTATTCAGATAGTTATTAATTATGTGTTTCATGATCGTACTAAGCATATAGAGGTACATGTTCATTACTTTAAAGAGTTGATTAATGATAACTATCTTAAGATTTATTACATTATCTCTGAAGACCAGATTGCGAATTTGTTGACGAAAGCAGTCTCTTCCAGTTGACATTATTATCTTTCATGCAAATTGATGGTTCGCACCGCCCATCAATTTGGGGAGGGTTTTAGTGTACATAATGATGATTGTGTTAAGGATGTAATCCTTACAAATTAAAGGTGTTGAAGTGTATTTGGGGATAGCCGAAAACTATATCTATGTTGTCACTATGTATTTGATATAGGGCACTCGAGTCTCCCTTATTATTCGTGAGCTTGTTCAGTTAGATGGCATTGCTCCTTTGAAGGTTAGTTCAGATCTCCAACAATAATATATGTTCACTAAAGGTCTCGGTGCCGAATGGTTTCATTTTTTTTCTTTCGAAACCATCAGTTTGTGACCTTTCGTGCTCCAACTTGGGGAGGGAGTATTTTACCAGCCAATTGACGAGCCCATAAAAAATCCTTACAACCCACTTCGAGGCGACGACCTAGAGCCTCCCATGTGTGTGTTGCATTCAATTGTCTTTATTGTATTACCCTAATTGATCATAAATAACGAAAGGTATATTAGTGTGTGTAAGACTATCAATCAGAACATCAATAAGAATAAGAAAACATAACAGAAAGTAAAGCTCTGGCGTGGATTAGTCTCGTTTTTTAGGGATTTCATGTAAATACTTGTCTCTCTTTCTTTTCCGCAAATCATGAATTTGTTGGAAATTCTTCTTGCAGCGAGTTGAATTCTCTTGTTTAAATTACAATTTGGAGAGCTTTGATGCTCTTATTAACGTTAGTCGTTATAGAGTATAGAGAAGACTATTAATAGGCTTGTTAGGACAAGCCCTAACTACATAAGACGGTTGGCATAAATACATATTGGTACCTAAATTTACATAAATACATATCAGCAAGACCAATAAGTTTCGCCGCAACAACACCAAACTATAAGTGGGTTTTTCTTTTGCCATAAATTATTTAAATCACACGAAAAATGAGGGTGAATCAACATCCAAATATATCGACTAGTTCACTATGCAATAAGTTAGAGAGCGAAATCAAATTCCCTAGAAAGCTATTCAGATAGCTATTTATTATGTGTTTCATGATCATACTAAGCACATAGAGGTATGTTATGGGACAATCCAAGTACCACATCGGTTGTACAAGGGAAGGAACCCTTGTATATTAGAGTCCACCTAGCCCAATTAGTACGAGGCCTTTTGGGGAAGACACCCAAGAGTAAAACCGTGCGGGCTTGGCCCAAAGCGGACAATATCGTACTAATTGAGCTCCCCGATTTGACAAGGTACATGTTCATTACTTTGAAGAGTTGGTTAATGATAACTATATTAAGATTTATTACATAATCTGTGAAGACCAGATTGTGAATTTGTTGACGAAAGCAGTCTCTTCTAGTCGACATTATTATCTTTCGTGCAAATTGATGGTTCGCACTGCCCATCAATTTGGGGAGGGTTTTAGTGCACATAATAATGATTGTGTTAAGGATGTAATTCTTACAAATTATAGGTGTTGAAGTGTATTTGGGGATAGCCGAATACTATATCTATGTTGGCACTATGTAGTTTATTTGGGCACTCGAGTCTCCCTTATTATTCATGAGCTTGTTCAGTTAGATGACATTGCTCCTCTGAAAGTTGATTCACATCTCCAACAAGCATATATGTTCACTAAAGGTCTCAATGTCGAATGGTTTCATTTTCTTCTTTCGAAATTGTCAGTTCGTGACCTTTCATGCTCCAACTTGGGGAGGGAGTATTTTACCAGCCAATCGAAGAGCCCATAACAAATCCTTACAGTCCACTTCGAGGCGACGACCTAGAGCCTCTGATACTTGTGTTGCATTCAATTGTCTTTATTGTATTACCCTAGTTGATCATAAATAACGAAGGGTATAGTAGTGTCTGTAAGACCATCAATCAGAACATCAATAAGAATAAGAAAATATAACAGAAAGTAAAGCTCCGACGTAGATCAATCTCTTTTTTTTAGGGATTTCACATCAATATTTGTCTCTCTTTCTTTCCCGCAAATTAGGGGTGGCTATACGGTCCGGTCCGGTTAAATTGGCCCAAATTGATCCGGTCCAGTCCGGTTTTTTTGAAAATATAAGGACCGAAGATTGGATTGGATACAGTCCGGTCTTGATCCGGTCCGGTCTTGACCCGGTCCGGTCCCAATTCGGTCTTGATTTTATATTGAGATTGTGGGAATTTGAGTGGCCTAAGGCCTAAAAGGGTGAGGAGTTGGTTAAGTTTTGTACTAAGTGCAAAGGTTTGTAACCGTTTATGCAAATTACCCTTAAGTTTTGGGTGTTGAGCTCTCTTATCCGGTCTTTATCCGGTTTTTTACCTCAAATCTAAGCCCAAAGATTGGATTGGATTGTTTACTATCCGGTCCCGGTCCGGTCTCGGTCCGGGTTATACGGTCCGGTTTCCGGTTTTTCATCCGGTCCCGGTCCAAATAGCCAGCCCTACCGCAAATCATGAATTTGTTGCAAATTCTTCTTGCAGCGAGTTGAATTTTCTTGTTTAATTACTTTTTGGAGAGCTTTGATGCTCTTGTCCTCGTAGAGATCTAGCTAGCCGACTTCATTTTCCACTCCTAGTTCGAAGTACTCTTCATGGTGGCAGAGACAATACCCGTGACGGCCTAGAATTGGCATCCTTCATGCAACCAGCTTTGAAGAGAAAGCAAATTAAGCTTTTGCCAACAACAAATCAGTCAAGTCATATATGGTGACGACAAAGATATTCACCATGCAAAAAACGAATCTTCGCTTTGGTAGCCAGTGTTGAAGAGAAAGATACACTTTTATCAACGGAATCAATCAAGTTGTAAAGAGTCGTGAAGGATAAGTAGAGTGACACAAACAATCAACAGTTTCCTCTCCGGTTACAATAACTAGAATTTCTTCTCTAGTAAGCGTGTATGTATCTCATATTTATTGAAGTATATATTTTGCTATAGTATTTTCGTTTTCTATCTCATTAGGGTTTCTGTTTGTTTTCCGATACATATTAGAGAAGAACCCCCACGAAACTCTCTACACTTGATCGCGAACTTCCAATATTCTCCGACCACCGGAGAAGAGGAAGCCATGGGGGACACCAGGATAAGTGGTGAGGTAATCGGGATTGACCTAGGGACGACCTTCTCCTGCGTCGCCGTCGCTCGGAAGGGCCACGGCGTCGAGATCTTAGCCAACGACCAAGGCAACCGAACCACCCCTTCCTACGTCGCCTTCTCCGCCGCCACCGCCAGTTCCGAACGCTTCATCGGAGAAGCCGCCAAGAACCAGGCCACTCTCAACCCTCACCGGACGATTTTCGACGCCAAGCGGCTCATCGGGAAAAAGTTCGACGACCCAGAAGTTCAGAAAGATTTGAACTACTTGCCCTACCCTGTCGTGGAGAGGGACGGAAAGCCTTGCGTCCAACTGGAAGTTAACGGCGAGCCGGTATCCTTCACGCCGGAAGAAATAAGCGCCATGGTGCTGTGGAAAATGAAGGAGACCGCGGAGTCGTATCTTGGGAAGCAAGTCACCAACGCCGTCGTCACCGTCCCTGCCTACTTCAACAACTCCCAGAGGCAAGCAACTAAGGACGCTGGCATCATCGCCGGCCTTAATGTTTTAAGGATAATCAACGAGCCTACTGCCGGCGCCCTAGCCTACGGTGTGAACCAGGACCCCAACACAAAGAGGAACATTCTGGTTTACGATTTAGGTGGTGGCACGTTCGACGTCAGCGTTTTGGAAATCGACAGTGGCATATTCCAGGTACGGGTGGAAAAAAGAAAAAAAAAAAAACTGACAACGCTCATATTCGAAACATGGTTAACCATGCATGCATCCTTGATTCCAAGGCAGTGGCGTAGCCTGATTTTGAGTTTGCCGGGGTCCTTAAAATTTTACTAACATTTATTGGCGTAGCCAGATATATAATTTAATGGGGTCCAAACATAACCAAATACGAAGTTTGACTCGATAGTAAAATCATTGTATCAGAAAGAGGGGGTCCGTGGTTCTAAATTTACTAACCCCACCTTAAAAATCCACTATTTTTAATGTATATTCATTTTCCAAATGGGGTCCATGGACCCCACAATCCCTTACCTAGCTCCGCCAATGCTAACATTAAACCATGTGTATCTGCTAAATTTTGAGTTGATCAGGGTTTTTGGTAAGTTAATATCGTCGAAAAAGTATGAGGTCCTAAACTTACAGAATCGTATTAAAACCTACATATCTAAAGGGTTCTGTTGCCCAATTTTTTACCAACCTCCCTCCGCCACTGATTTTCCAGATACTTGCCACGGGTGGTGACACACATCTCGGCGGGGGAGATTTCGATCAGAGGGTGATGGAGCATTTCGTTCAGCTAATCAAGAAGAGGCACAACAAGGATGTGAGCGGTCACCCGAAAGCTCTTGGGAAGCTGCGGAGGGAATGCGAGAGGGCGAAAAGGGTTCTGAGCATTCAGACCGAGACTCGAGTCGAGATCGATTCCCTGATGGATGGAACGGACTTCTCCGAGCCACTGACGAGAGCGAAGTTCGAGGATTTGAATTTGGATCTGTTCGAGAGGACAATGAGAGTGGTGAGGTCGACCCTGAAAGATGCAAAGATGGAGAAGCGCGAGATTGACGAGATTGTGCTGGTTGGGGGGAGCACCAGAATCCCCATGGTGAGGGAGATGTTGAAGAAGGAGTTCGACGGGAAAGAGCCGAGCAAAGGGATCAATCCCGACGAGGCCGTGGCTTATGGAGCTGCTATCCTTGGAGCCAATCTCACTACCGACCAAGTTGGAGTTGGTAATTTTGCTCACTTGCAAGTTTAGGGTTCCATTTCTCTGAGTATATATATATATATATGGTGGTGTTTTCGGTGCACTCACTTTTTTGGGTGCGTTCAGTGCACCCGCCTCATAATCGCCATTTTGAATAGGCGATTCATGTCAAAACGATGTCAATCATTACTTGTGACATGATAGACATGAAACCCCATGAATTTACAAAAGAAATCATTATATATTTACTTTGATTTGAAGGATTTAAGATTTAGAGATTTAGGGTTAGGGTTCACATTTTGGGATTTTGGGTTGGTGTTCAAAATTGAAGGTTTAGGGGTTAAGATAATTGATTAATTAGTTATTATCATTTATTATATCATCGTATTATACTAATGCTACCAGTTAAAATTCAAAATTTGATGTCTATGGCTAACTTTAGAGTTGAATGCACCCAAAAAAGTGAGCGCACCGAAGTAGCCACCATATATATATATATAAAAAACTGTTTTCCTTCATACAAACTACGTTTTTGAATTATTTGTAGGTGTTATTCTACTCGATGTTACTCCCTTGAGCTTGGGGGTAGATGTAGTAGGTGATCTGATGTCAGTAGTGGTGCCCAGAAATACACCCATTCCTACAAAGAAGACTCGTGAGTACAAAACCGTGAAAGATCAGCAATCTATCATATATTTTTTGGTAATTCGAATTTATTTCTTTGCCATCTTTTTGTTCCGGATTAGACCATATTGTCGCCTATGCGAATAACACATAATTTCAGGTTTTGCAAGGTGAAAGAACCTTGACTAAAGATTGCCTCCAACTCGGGAGTTTTGAAATCACAGGCATTCCACCGGCTCCAAGGTAAGTAAAACTATCATTAATTACGAGGTTAATTATTGTATGCATCTATAGTTGTATTGAATCCCACTTACGTACAGGGGAGCTGTGCCTGTGGAGGTGACATTCGAGATTGACGCATCTGGAATTCTATGTGTCACGGCCAAGGAGGAAACCACCGGGAATTCTCAGTCCATTACAATTGACAACTACAAGAGGAATTTGAATTCGAGGGAGATTGAGAGGATGATCCGAGAGGCAAGAGAGATGGCCGAGCACGACAAGAAGGAGAAGGCGCGTGTTGATGCGAGGAACCAATTGGAACGCGCCATTTACGACTTGAAGAAGGCGGTGTCCGAGAAGCTTCATATGTACGATGGTGATAAGACCGTAGTGGAGGCTGCATTGGATGAAGCTTCAGACTGGTTTGATGGCAACAAGAATGCATGCATGCAAGAGTACAAGGACAGGAGGCAGAAGCTGAAAGGTTTGTTGGAGAAGCTTTCACCAGCATAGTAGTCTAGAGATCAAGTTATTAGATGCATGCATGCACGTACGAGTTTTCTTTGTTTTGCATCTTCGGTTTGAGACTTTGAGTTATTGTTTTGGACGGGTCCTTGTGGTGACTGATGCTTTTGCATTGCTTGTGCAAATAATGTCAGTCAAAATCATGGATACCCAACTTCTTTGCAAAACTAGGGGTGGTAATATAATCGGTCGGTTACCGGTATATCGAAAATCCCATTATCACTGTCGTTTGTCGATACCGAGTATATTTCGGTAAACCGATTACTGATTGGGACGGTATTGGTTTTTGCGTCGGTATCCCGATTTACCGCAAAGTGATTTTGGTATGCGAAAGGCAAAGCTATCCTCCCGCCCCCTCCGCTGCCTAAGACCTCTTCGACTTCCAATCCTCCGACCTCCAATCATCTGACCTCTTCGACGTCACGATACACCTTCCTCAAGGCCATGTTGGAAAGAAAGAAAGAAAGAAACGCTTTTTTTTTTTTATCAACAGATTCAATGAAGTCAGTGAAAAATTAAAAGAGAATCACGAGGAAAGAGTTCATCTTCCCCATGGCATACAAAATTGTGCGGGACTTTTTTGCACCAACTTATTTGCAAGATGAGCATTCAACATGTTCATGTGTTAGTTGGGATACCATCCAGCTAAGTAATAATAATAAAATTAAGCGTCATAGATGGTTAATCAATTCAACCTCTAGATAATGAGATTGACACAATCAACAATTTCTTCTTCCTTTACAATAACCGGAATTTCCTTTTAGTAAATGTCTACTTTTCATTTATTAGTATTTTTTTCGAATTAGGTCTTTTCCTTTTCTATTCATTAGGGTTTTTGTTTGTTTTTCTATATATATATGGCAGTAGAAGCCTCCGAAACTCAGAACTTTCTCATTCACCACCCTTTGCGCGCGCACACACACAAAAAAAAAAAAAAAAAATTCTTCCACCACCGTAGTAATGGGGGACACAGGGATCAGTGGAGAGGTAATCGGGATTGACCTAGGCACGACCTACTCCTGCGTCGCCGTCGCTCGAAAGGGTCGCGGCGTCGAGATCATCGCCAACGACCAAGGCAACCGAACCACCCCTTCCTGCGTCGCCTTCTCCCCGGCCTCCGCCGGCTCCGAGCGCTTCATCGGCGAAGCCGCCAAGAACCAGGCCACCCTCAACCCTCGCGGAACAATCTTCGACGCCAAGCGACTCATCGGGAAAAAGTACGACGACCCAGAAGTTCAAAAAGATCTGAACTACTTGCCCTACCCCGTCGTGGAAATACACGGAAAGCCCTGCATCGAAGTGGAAGTCAAGGGCAAGCCGAAAATCTTCACCCCGGAAGAAATCAGCGCCATGGTGCTGTGGAGGATGAAGGAGGCCGCGGAGCTGTACCTTGGGAAGCAAGTAGTCAACGCCGTCGTCACCGTCCCGGCCTACTTCAACGACTCCCAGAGGCGGGCCACCAAGGACGCCGGCATCATCGCCGGGCTCAATGTCTTGCGGATAATCAACGAGCCGACCGCCGGCGCCCTAGCCTATGGCGTGAACCAAGGTCCCGACAAAAAGGGGACCATTCTGGTTTACGATTTAGGTGGCGGGACGTTCGACGTCAGCGTTTTGGAAATCAACGACGGGATATTCGAGGTGCTGGCCACGGGCGGCGATACGCATCTCGGCGGGGGAGATTTCGACCAGAGGGTGATGAAGTATTTCATCGATCTGATAAAGAAGAAGTACGGGAAGGATGTGAGCGATGATCCCAAAGCCTTGGGGAAGCTGCGGAGGGAATGCGAGAGGGCGAAAAGGGTACTGAGCACTCAGACGCAGACTAGGGTTGAGATTGACTCTCTGAGTCAAGGAGTGGACTACTTTTGTGAGCCGTTGACCAGGGCGAGATTCGAGGCTTTGAATTTGGATCTGTTCGAGAGGATGCTGGAGATAGTGAAGTCGACGCTGAAGGACGCAAAGGTGAGTAAGGGCAGGATCGACGAGATTGTGCTGGTTGGTGGGAGCACACGAATTCCTAAAGTTGGAGAGATGTTGAGGAAGGCGTTTGACGGGAAGGAGCCGTGCAATGGGATCAACCCCGATGAAGCTGTGGCTTATGGTGCTGCTATCCTAGGAGCCAATCTCGCCGGTGACCGGCCTGGAGTTGGTAAATTTTGCTCGTCCATTTTTTTTTTTCCGTTGTAACTATTAGTGTTGTGGTATATGATTCACGATTGAACCTCTCCCAACAACTCGAGTTATTGGGATCAACTGGTTCTTGACATGGTATCAGGGTCTTCTGTGATCGAGAGGTCTTGTGTTCGATTCCCGGTGACCCCCATTTGTTAAGCACATTGTATTCTTGTCTTCAGACCTGTACAAACTTCAAGCCCTTGTGAGTGACTTTCGTTTGAGAGGGCGTGTTAGTGTTGTGGTATATGATCCACGATTGAACCTCTCTCAACAACTCGAGTTATTGGGATCAACTGGTTCTTGACAGTACCAACTCGTGTTTTTGTTGTTTCATGCCGTTTCATTCTACGTGTGTTAGAGCATTTACTTGTTGAGAAAGTGAAGCGTGCAATAGAATTTAAGCTTACGGTTGAAATTGTACGTAGGTGCTATTTTATTCGATGTCACTCCCTTGAGCTTGGGGATCAGAGTCCATGGCGATCTGATGTCCATAGTGGTGCCCAGAAATACACCCATTCCTACGAAGAAGTCAAAGGGCGAGTACAGAACTGTGAAAGATCAGCAAACTGGTTTGTTTATCGAGGTAGAGTTATAACCAAACCAGTTGATTTGTTTTTTTTTTTTTCAATTCTATGTTTGTTTTCAGATCGGCGGACGGCAATGATCATTAATATTACCTATGCGAACGATACATGACTCTCTCAGGTTCTTCAAGGTGAAAGAGCCCGCGGCAAAGATTGCCTCCTGCTCGGAAGTTTTACACTAGCAGGCATTCCAGCTGCTCCAAGGTACGTAGAATATTTTGATGTTATCATTAAGAGTTTGCATGCATGGATCTTTAAAGCCCGGGAAAATTGCATGGGACCTACGTAACAGGGGAGATGTGCGTATGGAGGTGACATTCGAGGTTGATGCGGATGGAATCCTAACCGTCACGGCCAAGGAGGAAGCCACCGGGAAATCTAAGTCCCTCGCCATCGACAAATACAAGAGGAATTTGAGTTCAAGGGAGATCGAGAGGATGATCAGAGAGGCGAGGGAGATGGCCGAACACGACAAGAAGGAGACAGCTCGTGTTGAAGCGAGGAACCAGTTGGAGGATGCCATTTACGATTTGAACAAGGCTGTGGCTGCGAAGCTTCATATGAAATATGGCGAGGTGGAAGGGGCTGTGAGAGAAACTTCAGAATGGCTTGATAACAACAATGGTGCATCCATGCAAGATTACAAGGACAAAAGTCGGAAGCTGAAGAACTTGTTGAAGAAGGTTTGATCGGAATGAAAAAATGATTCACATCGGTCGAGTTTTTTTTTTTTTTCTTCCTTTTTTCAGTTTTGACTTTTAATTTTGGACTGTTGCTTTTTGTGTCGTATGAAACTTCTATCCTAATTTAGTTTGGAATCTATATGGGTGATCGATTGCGGTGAATTCTAGACACTGGCCTATGATTACAGGTTTTGAGATGTAGAGGTTTAGAGGTAGTGATGATTGATCATTTCAATTATTCACGATTTTCGATCTATATATCCTTCTCATCATTAGATTAAATTTGGGCTAATACCACTGGAAATACCATCCTTTAGCGAAAGTGCCATTTATATTACGTACTTTCAATAAACACAAAAACATTCCAACGTATTAGGGGTTCGTGTCATTTGTGTTACGCGTATTTCTGTTGACTGTTAGAATTGACAGTTGACCTAACGGTGGTCAACCTATGTTTGACTATTGATTATGTGGAGCTTATGTGGCGGACATGTATGCGCCACATATGATATTATTATTAAATAATCCATTAAATATTTCCCATTAAATAAAAAATTATAATTAAAAGGAAAAAGTAGTCGTCGCCTCCACCTAGTTGGAAAACAAAACAAATATGTTGCCGCCGCAAGATCTCGACGGCTCCGTCGGCAACCCCGACGGTCGATCTCCCTTAATAAAAAACTAGTGGCGCACTCACTCAAGGTTCAATCAAACTCATAAGAAAGACCACGCCTTTCTCCTCCGATGCGTCCTCCCCCAAGGATTGCGATGGGACGGTCAGGATGTGGTCGGCGGCATCGAGTCTTCTGGCTTCAGAGAGACATCTCATCAACCTCAAAATTAGGTCACATCTTCTTTCTTACTTCATCCTCCACACATATTCAGCATATCACCATGAGTAGTAAGGATGCGACTGGCCATCGACGCCGTCATCGACTGACCTGCCGCTTTTCTACCTGCAATTGCTCCCCTATTCCATTTTCCCCAACTTATCTGGGCAAATCACTCAAGAACGAATATGATTTGGATTAAGGAAACCCCTGATCTAGGAAAATCCTCCAAAGGGACCTGGTTTTCCCCTATTTGAAACACCTAAATCGGTCGGCAATAGGGTGAACCTGGTTTCGAATCCCTAAATCAATTGACTGGATTTTCCCCGATTCGGCCGACGCCGAGGGAAGTTCCGCCTTCAAAAGCTTCTAAATAGCTTCCTTTCATAGCTTCCTCGTTGCTCCAAAAATCTAGAGCGAGCGGAGGTTGGCGATGGAGGAAAAGGAATTGAGAATTTGTTGAAGGAGGCGGGATGAGAGACGACGAAGTGGAAGAGGGGAGCTATTGTAGCCACAAATACAAACCATAGGGATGAAGCGGTGGAGCGGCGAAGAGGGCAGAGGAGGCGATTGGTGGTGCTGGGGGAGGGAAGTCGTCGGGAGGGGATGAAAAGTCGCACGAGAATGATACAAGCAGGCGCAGTGGGGAAGAGGAATAGCCGATTTTTTTTAATAAATGAATTTTTAGTAAATTTTCCATGTCAGCTGCCACGTGTATACTGACTGTGTTTTCTGTCAATTTCTAACGGAAAACTTAACGGAGGAAACGATTTGGTATACAAATGACATATCGAAAAGTACGTAATATAAATGGCACTTTCACTAAAGAATGGTATTTCCAGTGGTATTAGCCCATTAAATTTTTATGTTCTTCTTTATTTATGCATATCAGTTAAAGGATAATCTGATATAAGAGTTATAAACATTAGAAGTATTAGAGGATGAGTAGTACGAGTAGTATTATGTTATACTACGATTAGTATTATGTTGCACCGTTGGTCACTGAGATTACAAAAAACGTTCATGTTTGGTCACTAGAAATATTTAAATCCATTTGTGGGAGTTGGTGGTGGGATGGTTTCTTTTTCCATGGTTAGGTTTAGATGAGTTGACGGGTTTAAATGACGTGGCGGGTCAGCCTATTTTCGGGTTAAAAAGTGATGATTAGGCGAATTCGTCAGCCACATCATCACTTAACGGACGCCGTTAACGGCGTTGGACGGCAGCTAACGGAGAGTGACCATAAGTGAACGATTTTTGTAAAGTTAGGCACCGCAAATGGATTTAAATATTTCTAGTGACCAAACATGAACGTTTTTTGTAATCGCAGTGACGAACAATGCAATTAACCCAATTTTTTCCTAGAAATTCCAATTTAAAGAAATATAATAAATTGAGAAAGAATTATACATTACCAATATATATATTTATCTTTCGTAAAAAAAAAAAAGTTCGTGGTCGAATGGTCTGATTTTTAGTCTTGACGACCAACTCGTACCAACTGAGGGGTTAAAACGAGAAGGCCGGGCCGGGGAGTCCAGAGGGTACTGCCGGTCTGCTCCGGGCCCAAGACTCGAATAGTGAACTGGTCAGGCCCGTGAAAGCTCACCGTTAACTACCCATTGAAAAACTACTGGCCCAGCACAGCCTTATCCGAAACTCGCCTTCAATAACAAAACTACACCTTCCGTTTCGGTTCCCTGCCGTTTTTATTTCCGGTCCATCGCCTGAGCCTCCGCTGCCATGTTCGCCGCCTCCGCCTCTTCGCTGCAACATGTCCGCCAGCCCGTCACCGCGGTTCTACTTCCCGTTTCCTCATACCATCCCCTTCTTCTACGTAAATTTTCACATCTTCGTCTCTAAACTAAAAATACCATTGTCATTTTTTGCAGGGGACCGGTGCTTCAGGGGAGCAATACAATCCGACGGCGAAGATTAAACCATCTTTCCAAAAGGCGGCGGATTGTAGAAATTCAGCCATTTCCCCCAAATTCTCCTACTCTGTTCATTGTCTGAATCTTCCGAGGAATTCGGTAAAGGTACGGGCGGGTAGAAGGAGGAGAATGATCCACGAGAAGACGGACACGTACGTGTTTCTGGAGCCAGGGGAGGATGAAACATTTGTTAGCGAAGAAGAGCTCAAGGAGAAATTAAAGAGCTATTTGGAGAACTGGCCGGCCAAGAGCTTGCCGCCGGATCTGGCGAGGTTCGAGGCCATTGACGATGCTGTTTCGTTCTTGGTGGGTTCGGCATGCGAGCTTCAGATCGATGGGGACGTTGGCTCACTCCAGTGGTATCAAGTTCGTTTGGAGTGATTGAACTGAAGGAGGTTGAATTGAGGTTGGAGCATGTCATTTTTTTCCTGCGTGTGCACGTATTTTGCAGGTAAATTAGACGCCTGAATACAATTACCCTTAACAGCAAAGTTTATCGATAACTACTTCATTCTAAAAATTTTATCGGACGTTTTGCTAACTTTATCAATGATCATTTTTGTATCTTCGTCCAACACCATTTTTTTAGAAAGCTCAATTGCTTATATCAACAAAACACATCTTCTAAAGCAATCATCACTTGTAATTTCTTAACTGATGTCTCATATCTCACTCTTATATTAGATACAAATCTACAATCCGCTTTATTTATAACCTACCTAAAAAATATTTCTACGTTATTTATAATTTTCACCTCGACTTTTACAACTTGTTTCTTCATATTTTTAGACCTTTTCTAAAACATAATTTAGAATCATCATTTGAGATTCTGTGTCTTCTCTCAATCTTCCAGAGAAGATGATCACTCTCATTGTTAAAAACATAATTACTCTTAATTAGCATATAGAATACCAATGTACGTGAAATGGAACTAGTTTGCAAGAACTAAGCAGACAAAGCTGCCAAACCTAAACTTGAAAAAAAAGGGATAAATGAACCCATTAACCAAAAGTGGGAGCACAACAGAGATGTTACAACAATTTACAACCCATATATATGCTAAATTACAAACCGCCATTAGTTTTGGAAGGGAATCCACTTGAAGGTCTGCACTTTAGTCTGCCGCCTGGAGCTGCAACGATTTGGCAGCAGAAACAATTAGGATGTGTAGTAGAATGATTGCAGTAACTGATTGCGGTTCTCGTTAATGGGTTAAATAATACCTTTTGGGGCAGATTTGTGCCGATGGGCGGCAAAGGCAATGGAGCTCCTTCCCCACCGCCCCTTCTTTTCCTTCCCATAAGCCCTCTCGTGATCGGAGAAACCATCGCATCAGTCGGACTCCTGTACCTGGAAAAAACAAAACCCACAACGACCACTCTTTCATCCCAGTAAAAGTCGCAGTAAAAATTAACTGCCACTTCACACAGGGAAGCTGGATATTTTACTGATGAAAACGATAGATGAACACGCTTGATCTGAACAGAAGTCAATCTGCCTATGGAAAACGGATATGTAGGGTGGAAAGAAGGTGATGACGTACCTTTCTGGGTACTTGAAAGCCTTGGGAACTTGGAGGGGAACAAGAACGGGGATGTTGTTGTCGCCACCACCGCCGCTGCTTTTGCTCAATTCTCTGGCGCCACTGCTGATCACTTCATCAGACTCCAGAGATGAACTCTGCTGCTGCTGCTGCTGCTGCTTCACGGTTGATTCCAGCTGAGAAATCACAGCACTTGTTTGATTTGATTGAATAAGCTTGTTCTCTACTATCACCTCTTCCATGGCTCAACTTCGGCAAGTCACTTGTCTGATGACTGATTGATGAATAAAGATATAAAGGGGGGGAGATAGATAACAAAAGGAAGAGTTTTGGGTTTGGCTGGTTTTCTTTAATAATGGAAGGAAAGACGAGTTATTTCGGCTCTTTCTGTGTGGCAATGGCAACAACGGAATATAGGCACAGTTTTCTTTTGCTTTTTTCTGAGATAGGTGAAGTAAAACGTGGGTCGTTGTTGAACCTTTGAGTGGGGCAAAGAATAAAGGAAGCGAAGATAGAATTGGTCATTATTGGTTTCACTCCAACCATTCTTTGTGGATGCGACGACCGTTGGGATGTAGTGGGTTATGGGTTTGTCATGGCTTCACTACCAATCAATAGCAAAGTAATCGGAAAAAACAGTGCACATTGGTTGAAAGCAATACAGGGTCTTCAAGCCCAAACCAAAAAGACACTTCTAACTAAAACACCCTTTACTTGTAAACCAAAGAATAGTTATTTCCTTTTCATAATTCATATAGAAGTAAACATCAATAGAAGGAAAAATTCTTTGCCTGAATTCAACTAGGTTACCTTACAACTCTACCTTCGAACCCATTATAACTGGAAGTTCTGGAATGAGAATATGCACAAGTTTATCAACTCATAGTAGCAGAGGCAGCCGCTGGGGTAATTCTTCGGCTCTCGCAGCCAGGGCAGTTGTGCAAGCTCTCGTGAATATAAATGTCGCAATCAAGGCAGAAATACTGCTTGCACTTTGTACAAGCCGCACAAGGGCCAGCCTTGTTGGTACCTGCGATAGGACCACCACATCAGCATGCTTAAAATTTTTACCAAGGCAGTCCATTAACTGACATCTGAAATACGAGAAGTATCGAGGGAAACACAATGCACTTCATATAAGACTCCACTATTCTATTCACGTAACCACTTCCGCAAACCAAGAAACAGTCATAGACATTACAAACTCAAAAGTAACAGTAGTGACAGCAGCAGAGTTTATAGCCCCCAAGTGGCAGCACCAGAAAAATAGCTCATACACTTGACATATAACCAACTTCAGTCTTGCATGATCAATACTGTTAGTTTATTGCTAAGTAACCCACTGCCAGAGTTTGTTGCCAAAAGCTTTCTACATATACTGATTTCCAACAGATAACTTTGCATATAGATCATTTGTATTAGCATAACTTACCAGGAGTGAGAAGGCTCTCTCGACAACTGAAGCAAGTTTTTGAAGCTACTCTGCTCAATTCCAACTGACGTGCAGATACCTCGGTGAATGGCTCGATTGGGAAAAGATGATGATAAGATCTAGCTAGATGGGGTGATGAGACAAGTGTCAATCCACAGAAACGACATTCTGTGGGCAGTTCACATACACGGGCTTTGCATCTTGGACATATATACCCTTCACCTACTTTAGCTTCTCTGTGGCAGGAGCAGATTGCTATAGAACCTTCTGCGGCTCTTTGTGGGAAACCCATCTTGATCAAGTTCGCAATGGCAAATTCAGCAAGGGCAGGAGGAGGTGGTGCATGCTCTAGTAAGAGCTCTTTGAAGTGACCCTGCAAGAAGAGAATGTGCACCAGTTCCATCAGTGAAATATACAAAGAGCAACCTCAAGAGAACAGAAAAAGAGAAGAAAACCATCCATTAATCAACAAACGGAGTGAGGCCAAACATAACTAAAACTAGCAGGTTCACTAGCAGGAGCAACGGTCAGTAAGTTTCATAAACTGATCACTCATTTCAAAATTCAAAGAATGGACTCCAGACAATTGTTTCAGTGATAAGTTCTGATTATGTAATTCTTGCATACAATGAAGGAAATCAAACAGTTCAAGTAAACTGACCTCATCCAAGGCAACCATGTATGACCCACCAGTTTCCTGACAAAGATGTTTGCACACAAACATTTCAGCAGAGAGGCCAATAACCGAGCACCTTAGTTTAGCCTTCTTGCATTTCTGGATAGTCTCCATTATATCACCCGGATCACAGGTTGAGAGTGCAGAATACAAGATGAGAACTTCACGGTGACCATATGATGGGATTTTATGGAGAGTGTCATGGACAAGTTCGAGAGCATTCTGGAGTGACGAGTCCCCTGCACAACCTAACTTAACCATCAAGGCCTTAATATGGGCCTCTGGACTCCCACCAAGTTCAGTCAAAGATTGAGCTACCCCATCTTTTATAATCACCAGACCAATCTGACTTAGTGGGTTCTGGTCGAAAAACTCCCTAATGAAAGCCTCAACATGTTTTGCAATCACAGCCATCCGACTGGGTTTGAAATCCATCTCTCCAGCTGCCTGCCGAAAATTGACATCAACACTTCAAAATCAAGCTAACAACCAAATTGCTTAGAACCTTTCATTCATAACTTCTGATGTACAAGCTCCATTGAAGACTGAGAATAACTAGGGGCTAATAACCAATCAACACACATTCTAAAATTCAAGAAACCAGCAAGCATCTCGCAATAGGTTACACAGATTATCAACACCGACTTTAACTACATAACACTGATAAACAGTTTGTCATAAATTACTGCTAAAAGTAAGGGTTCTAGTGTTAGACTTGCCAGACTTGAACTTGGAGGGACAGGTCAATGAGAGCCATGTATTGATCACCTCAAAAGTCATTACACCATCAGCTATAACCCTATATCAAATGAAAATCATTAATACCTTGGAAAGATCGACCACGACGCAGAGAAACCGAATGAGCCCCTTTTGGATCCTTGATGCAGCGGACGTGGCTGAAAGAGATTGAAGGCGTCTACGATACTGAGAATGGTAGATTGCCTTGTTATCAATAGGTTGAAGCAGTCCTGACTCGTCCTCTTCCAATGCCTCCCATGATCTCTCGTCTGTGTATGTCCTCTCCCACGCATCACGCCCTTCATCTTCAACGTCTTCTTCATTCTCTTCTTCTGCTTCACCGTTCATCCGCTTCTTCTCACTGTTGTTCATGATTCTTTCTTTCTGGGCTAGGGATGCAAGATTTCCTTCTACCTCAAACCGAGGGAAACGCTATTCCAACCCTCAGACAAGTTTCATTCTAGAGGTTGATTGCGAAATCGACGAACAACCCTGCAAATGGCTTCCCACCATCACATTTTCCATTTAAGATAAAACTAATCGGTGCAGAGACTTCAGACTCGATTATCAGTTCACTGGAGCTGGACCGGACTGAAAATTGATACATCCGCAACAGAGGAGCTGGAAAGTGAAGGATTCCGCCGCCGCCAAATTGGCAGGCAATGAGAGAGAGAGAGGCCAACGAGCGGTAAGCTGGGCAGCAACTCCGGCAACAAGATTGGGAGCCGGCGGGGAAGGAACTGGTTTTGAGTTTTATTGGAGTACTGATCTTCTTCAGCCCTAATTTTAATTTTATTCACCAGATCTCGTTTAACCCCCTGAACAATTTTAGTTGAACTTTTTGGCCTTTAAATTTTATGGGTTTACCTATAAAAGTCCCTAGACAATAGAAATTTCCAACTGAACTCTGGGACCAAATTTGAAGTTCCAAAATAGCCGATTCTGTCCACAATTTGCTAGACTTCACGGAATCAGTGTCACCTCATTCGGAATTCAAATTGAGTGACCAAAATATCCTCTCCTTATGTTCTGTTTTTTCCTCATCAAAACCTAGCTAGCACTCAAATCCTACTTCATCATTATCCGCAATTAGAAGGAAATAGTGGTTGTTCTCACGAGTTGAATATATAACTATAAGACTAGACCTTCGATTACCCCGCATCATCGCTATTGTTGCATTGGAGTGCCTCCCTCATGATATCAAAGCTCAAAATCTTAGAATGACACTTACATGCAACATCATACTATAAGTATACCACAAAATATCATACCATCGGACTTTAAGTTTGATATTAAGATTTGGGTTAATACCCTAGTTTGGCCCGAAGTATAGCGTAAGTGTCAGTTCTGGCCCCATTTTTCAAATAAGACATTTATGACCCACTTTTGAAACTATTGGACAAATTTGGCCCAAAATTTTCTTTGACCGTTAATATTGACGGTCAAACACTAGTCCGTTAGTGACTCAGCAAAAACAGCTAATGTGGCATGCCATGTAATTAAATATATTTTTTTAATTCAACTAATATAAAAATAAAACTAACAAATTAAAAGGATTTCCTCTTTCTCCCCTGACAACTTAACTCCTTAACCCTAAATAATCAAAACCCACCAGCCCATTCTTTCTCCCTTACCCAAATCGCCACTCTAAATAAACCTCAGCGCCGTCGTCATTCTCCCCAGCACTGGCAAAAATCACCACCCTAAATTAAACCCACGACCCGCCGCCATCATTCCTCCTCCTCCGCCGTGTTCATCGTCTGGGACACCAGCCTCGACTCCGTCATTCTCACGTACGCAGGACTCCTCCAACTTCAGCCTCTTCTCCTCTGCCTCTGCCAGCATCGACCGCTGCTCCTTCGCCTCCGACGCTCACGATAGCAACTCCCCCGCCTTCGACTTCTCACTGGTGATTAATAACTCAATCGATCCCCCTATCTCCTTCGTTTCCTAGAGCCTTAATCCGTTTTCTCCGATGCAGCATTTGGTAGTGAGCGGAGGAGGTGAGCTCGAAGGACAGGTAGGCAACTGGAGCGGTCCAGATCACCGGCGAGATCCAGATCCAAGCAAGGCCGTTGCGAGATCTAGATCCAAGCAAGGCCGCTGCGACTGTGCTAAACAGCAACCAGAGCAAGCTCACCTGTAATCAGGTTGCTCGTTAGTTGTGGTTTTTGGGAAGGAACGGGAGAGGCGGCAGAGTGGTAGTCGTCGGAGAAGGAGGAGTCCCTCCCTCTTATGGACGATGATTTTGATTTAGTTTAGGGTTTGAATTTGGGGATTTGGGGCCAGAGATTTGGGATAATAAGTGATTTTGTTAATTTGTTAATTTTTATTTTAATTGAATTATAAAATTAAAATAATATCATTTAATGACGTGGCATGTCACATCAGCTGTT